TATTTTATAAAATAGTTTAGAATGCCTTTATAACCTATTATATATTAAGTAGGAGTTTATTATTATTAATAAAAGTGCTGCTATAGCATTAAGGAGGATAAGAGTTAGTTAAAAAAAAGATAAGGCTAATAAAGGAAAAAAAGTAAGTAGCTGCTATAAATACTATTAATACTACTAATATTATTTATATAATCTATAGCTATATATACTAATTCTGCTACTAGTAATAGTAAAAGATATAGTAAATTAATACTAACCTTTAACCTAAACCCCCCTATACCTTCTCTTAAAAGTAAGGCAATTCCCTTTAATATATAGCTTAAAGTTTAAGATTAATCTTAACCTTCTTTAATAAGGCAGTAGTATAGTTCTAGTATATAGCCTTTAAGGTAAAATTCTAGGTAATATACTTATAATCTTTAAGGAGGAGTTAAGGATACTAGTAGTATTCCTCCTATACCTTTATATCTTTAGCTAATACTATAGCCCTTTACTACTTTACTATAACTTTTATTTAAAGCAGGGTTAGTAAAGAAAACTATTAAAAAAAAGGGATACTATACTAAAAGGAGAGTATAAAATAATAGCTAAAAAAACTTAAAAAGGGTAAGCTAATAATAAGCTACTATTAACTAAGTATAATTAGTAATAGGCTTTAAGTTAATATATTATAAATTTATTAAACTATGCTTAGTATAATAAGCCTAGTCTAGCTAGTTAAAGGCAAGCTATAAGTTAATAAAAATAGCTATAAATTTTTAGTAAAGGGCTTATAAAAAGAGTATTAGTATTATATCTCCTGCCTTTACTTAAGTATTTATATTAAGGTTCCTTAACTTATACTACTTTTATAAGTAAATAAGCCACTTGCCTAAATAAGTAATAGCGCTAAAAAGGAGACTAAAAGTATTAGAATTAGTTATTAAAGAATAAGAAAAAAAGCCTTAAAAAACTTATAGTAAATAGTATTTACCTTTAATATTATATATAATATAATAAAAGGAGTTAGAATTAATAAACTTATAATTTATATTAGTAAAAATAATAAAATTAAAATTATTTTAAAAATTAGTAATATTTTTAGTATAAGAGGATTAAAGGCAGTATATATATTAAAGGAAATAGGCTAAGGTAAAGTAAAAGTAACTCCTTTATTTTACTATATTACCTATTTAAGTAGTATATATTATTATTCTCCTTAACTTATTATTAGCTATAGTAATAAAAAAAAAGAAATAAAAAGCTAAGATAAAAAAAAAGTAAGAAAGGAAGGTATAAGCCCTTTTATTTTTAAAGCTAAATGCCTTATAAGTCTACCTTAATTTAATAAATAAGGGCAGAGGTAAATAAAAAGAGTAAATATTATAATTAATATAGTAGTATAAACCTTAAAGGCTAATACTATAAGGAAGAAGTAAGGAGTAAAATAGTATTTTAGCAGCAGTAACTCCTTAAGGTTTTAAGAATAAAGAGGTTAAAGAAGGAAGTAATAATTAAGATAAATTATTATAAAAAGGAAGGATAGTTATAATAAAAGCTAGTTATAGGCTATAGCCTTACTATATAGCCTTACCTCCTTCTTAATTAAGCAGCTAGTATGCAGGATTTAGGGGCAGAACCCCTCCCTTTAATTAGTTAGAGCCTTAAAGCTTTAAAGTTATATAAAATTAGCCCTAATTTTATTTTATATAAGTAAGGTGCTTTACACCTCCTTACCTTTAAGCTTTTTAAGCTTTAGTTTAAATATAATTACCTACTATTACTACTGCCTACTTAACTAGATTCCTTATTTCTATTATAATTATTTAGCAGTAAAATAATAATAATACCTATTCCCTTAATCTTTAATATACTTTTATTAAATATAGCTATTATATTAGCTTTATTTAGTATTTAAATAAAAATAAACCACTTTAGGTTATTAAAATAATATAGGTTATAGCCTAAGTTAATAATAATATTATTTTAGTTAATACTATATTTAGTTAAGGTAAAGTTATAGTCTAGAGTGTTATTTTATATAATTTTAATAATATTATTTTTATTATTTTTAAAAAGATTAGGCTTAATAAGGATATTTAAGGTAATTATTATGCTAATAAATAATTATCTTACTTTTATAATATTTAAGGTGCCTTTAAATAGTCTCTTTTTTATTATAAGCTTAGGTTTATCTCTTCCTTTATTACCTAATTCTTATCTTTATAAATAAAATTCTTATTATAAGTTTAAATAAAATTAAAGATAATAATCCTTTAAGCAGAGTTTAAAATAAAGTCTTTAATAAGTATTAGGTATATAAGGCTTTTTATCTGCTAAGATAATATAGCTATATTTTAGCTTTTTAATTTTATTATTATTAAACTTACCTTATCCTTACTATTTATTATTATTATTATTTAATAAGGAAGGGGCAGGCTGCTTAAAGGTGCTAAATATCTTTTTAGTCCTTACTTTCTTATTTACTTATAAGTAAAAGAACTTAATAAGTTTATTTTTCTTAACTTCCTTACCTTAATAAAGATCTACAGTTTAATACTTATACTAAGTCTTATTAATATATTTAAGGCCTATAAGAGCTATAGTTATAAACTAAGCCTTTAATGCCTTAAAATATTAATATATAATATAAGTTTAAGCTTTTATTAATGCATTAATATATACTTTTAAAGACTTAAATTAGCTATATTTTAAATAATTAAACTCTTAAATAATAATAAAAACTCTTTTTATTAAGGCTTTTAAAATAATAGTTTTTATTATATTAAGGAGTTCTTTTACTATTAAGTTATTATTATTAAAGCCTTTATAGTTAAGCTTTATATAAATTTTTATTAATAGGTTATTTAAGATAAATCCTATTATTAGTATATTATTTTCTTTTTAAGTATTTTTTTTAGCTTAAGTTACTTTTTTAGCTATAATATTTATTCTCTTAATAATGCTTTAAAAGCCTATTAGGTATATATTAATTTTAAGTGTTTGTTTTTAAGTATTTTAGTTATTAAGGCCTTTTAGTAATATTATTAAAAGAAAGAAGTTAGCTTATAAAGCCTTAAGGGTATTATCCTTTATAAATATTAGCTATACTATTTTAAGCTATACTATTTATAAATTTAGGTTAAGGTTATTATAATTAAAGTTTTTATTTTTAGTAATAAATTTAAGATTATTTTAGCTTAAAGGGTTAAGTAATAATTATTTTATTAATATATAAGTAAAATAAAGTCTTTAAGTCCTTATAAATAAAAGAGAAAAAGAAGGTTAATCTCTTAAGTTAAAAAAGGGCAATTTATAAATTAAGGTATAACCTGTATTAGGTTAAAGGTATAATAATAACTTTATCTATTACTAACTTAAAGGTTTAGGTATAATTTTTCTGTAATTTTTAAAAGAGTATAGGGCTTATAACCTAATTAAGGTATAATAATAAGCTCTCTTCTTTTATAAAAGACTAGCTAAAGAGAAAGAGAAGGAAAATAAATAAATAGCTATAAACGCATTATAGGCCTAAGGCCTGTGGTGTTATGGGGTGGTCCTGAGTTATTAAGGTGGGGACCACTTAACAGTACTATACTAATTTGTACGAGGGGCAGGTTACCTAGACGAAGGAGTATTCTAGTGCAATTTATAGACAGAGGAAAACGGGAGAGTAATACTACCTAGTGATGCCGATAAAGGGCATAAGATAAAAGGATTAGGCGTGGGTGACTTGTGAGCTTGGTGTCACTGGTGCTTCGATATATCATCAACAGTGGGATGGATGGACATGTTACAGGGGAAATGTGCTCAAAGGCCTGGGAACCTGTAGATGGCGTGATGGTTGCTATTATTGTTCAGACTAGCAGCGATCTTCTCGTCATCAATGTCAGCCAGCGTTCGGCCTTGACTGTGTGATGATGCAACGGTGATGAGCCCAGCTGTAATTGCAACTGGAAGTGTTCGGGAATAGACACCTCCATAGTAGGTACTAGACGGAGCCCGACCTACCTGGACGATGGGGGGGAACATGAGGTGAACATGAATGCGGGGAGGGGGTTCCGCCCAGCGGCATTAGGGCAGCCAAGGGGAGGCGCAGGGCTCTGGTTTAGCGGGCTGAGCTGCCCCTAGGCGCTCCATCTCCACTGGAAGCCTCCCCTAAGCCGACCCAAGGTAGCCCTGGAGGTACGAGCAGGTCTAGTAGCCCTGGAGCTGTATGTACATGTACGCTCACCTCTGAGCCACCAGCATGAGGTGGAGGATTGGATCCGGAGCCCCTTTGCCGTCCGAAGCTCACAGGTACATACCTACATACATGCTTCAGATACTTCCAGACCATCTGCGTTCCTTATTATCCCTCCTCTCGACCTCGTCTGTTGTGCCGCACATCTGACAACGTCGACGGATTGTTGCGCACTCGCCAGACTCTCTCGCCGCTGTCGAATTCGATGGGCTCCCCTACGATGGCTTCGTCGACAATTGCTGTCGTCTCATGTTAAAGCCCGTCCTCATCATTTGCTGTGTTTTCCATCTCTCTTGTCGCCCGTTGCTTAGGTATCTGTGCTCCTCGGTTGCCTCACTGTTGTCGTTCTTCATCAGATCTACAACCCCCTTGTTGTCCCCAATTCTGCCCATTTTTTCTTTCTTTCTTTCTTCCTTTGAGATTCCCTGTCTAGTGTTTCTTGTTGGGGGGAGGAATAACAGTAAAGTCTCGGTGCCCGAGCTCGGAGACCGCCCAGATCGTCGCGACTCGCGCTGTCACTCAACATCCTACAAAGATGGCCCGTTTCGTCGATCTCGACGAGGAGCAAGACGAGGCGCAACCAATGGCCGCGTGGCAGGACGGCAGGTTTCGCGCAATGTCTGAGCATGGAGCTGCCGTCACGGTCGTTGCTGATGGCGACCGAAGCGTCGACGCGGCGACTCGTCGCTTTCCCAGCAGGAAGAGCACCATGACGGACAAGGCGCCCGAGGGAGCGTCTGAGGCGGACCAGGGAAAGGGCGTCATGGCCGACAGCGCCATGGGCGAGGCATTCCAGTGCTATCCGTATGTTCTTGTTGTTCATGCTTCTCTCATTGCCGCGGAGAGCAAAAGACTAACACGCCGTCTTCCTCTCCAGCATCGTCGTCGGCATCGTGTCCCACATTGATCTCAACACCCTCGACGCATTGGCCCGCTCGTGCCGCCTCATCCACGATGGCCTGATCCAATACCGAACGAGCCTCATGGCGGCGACGCTGCGCTGCTCCCGAGAGGCCGTGCCGGTCGACCCAGAGCAGACGCTCCGATACCGCGCGAGGGCCAGCGACTGGAACTACATGGACGATGGGCGCAACTGCAACGGCAAGGCGGGCAGCTGCGCTCGCGACCTGGTGACTGAGTGCAGGAGATGCGCCGACGTGATTTGCAGGGTGAGTCTGTGTGCTCTGGCAATGCATTGCCTTGCACCTGAATAGCTGCTGACATGGACGGGCAGAACTGCGCCATCAAGCCTCCTCTCTCGACTGCTCTACGCGAGCGTCATCGTCGGCTGTGCGTCACTTGCGCCAAGGCTCCCATTGCGGCGCTGGCGTCGCCGGCGCTGGATCCGTCTCTGGGTCTCGACTCTGAAGCCGTGCAGCGTGCAGTCTGTCAGTGCGACACCGAGGGCGTCTGGCTATGCCAGCCTTGTGGCCATAGCATCCGCAATGCAGATCACGACTACAAGGGGTATGTTTTAGCCATCATCGTGAACAAGAAGAGCTGCCATCTGGATCTGACACGGGAATGATAGGATCTGGCGTTGGCGCACCAAGTACGGAGGCTTTACCGGCATCGGAGACGGCGACCGCGGCGTCATCTGTGGGCGCGAGGAAGCCTGTCTCGCCGCCCGCGAACGGGAGCAGGAGACGGACTGCGACGCCGAAGATGCCCGGGGTAATACCCTGGTCCCGTGGTCGACCGGGTCCTCGTCCGGCACCCCGAGCCCGGGCTCGGGCCCACACCACTCCGGGACCCCCCCTGGCGGCGGTGCCGGGTTCCCCTTTCCCGCCAACGGCACCATCGAGTCCATCATCGACGAGATGCGGCACCAGCGGACGCCGTCGCCGCAGCTGGGGCCGGGCTACGAGAGGCACGAAATCGAGGGCATTGGCGGCATCGTCAAGCGCAAGCTCGTCCGCATGGTGCGCGTGGGGGCTTGCGTGCCCGAGTGGGAGGACGAAAAGGGCAGCGGCAACAAGATTCTGGCCCGCGAGGTGAATGGCGCGGCGCGGAGCTGGTGCGGCTGGTGCTGGAGAGTCATTCCGGGCGAAAAGGACAAGAAGCAGGTTGCGAAGCAATGAGGTGAGTTTTTTTTTTTTAACGAGGGATGAGACGGTATTAGACGGCTGGGCATGATCCATTCCTTACAGTCATGATGATGATGATGATGACATTCCTTTCGGTTGAATCATCTTGGCGTTGTACGTTGGATGGTTATAGAGAGAAGTGATTCTGGGCAAGTTGTGTTGCTCAGCAGTAATGGATGGGAGTGCATCAGAATCAAAACCTCACTCTTCAATGGTTCCGTTCAAGCATGTATGTGTGAGGCCATCCATGTTCGTCATGAAGATGATCTCCAAAGTGTTTATATCGTACACCACGCCCAATCCGTTTTTACACCCTCTATTCCCGACCCTTTTTCACCTTCATGCTTCTCAAGTCATTTTTCTCAAGATGCCAATGTCCCTGAAAGTTCCTTCAAAAACCCCCCATACTTGATCCTGTCGAATTGTACACAACACACACATCCATTCCCTTTCTCCCACACAAATCTCCCCTCCACAACTTCTCTACCCCCCCTCATCACAGCTCCCCCCGATACAGCATCTCAGCCCTCCTCTTCCGGTCCTCCCTCGCCGCCGTCCGAATGGGCCCCCACCTCTCCTTCTTGCGCTCCATCTTGGCCCTCAGCCACCTGAGGTGCTCCTCGGGCGCGGGCGCCGCCATCTGCACGAAGACGGTCGAGCACTCAAACTTGCGCGCCAGCCGCTGCACGCTCCAGGTGAGCGGGTCCTCGGCGCGCAGGCGGCGCATCTCGTCAATGTGCTCCTTTGTGAGGTTGTATTTCGGCTGGCGGCGCTTGTAGCGCATTTCCGGGGGCAGCTCTCCGTCTCCTGCTGCTGCTGCTGCTGCCTCTGTGCTTGAAGGCGACGATGATGACGAGGAGGAGGGCTGTGAGGAGGGATCGCTGAAAGTGTTGTTGTTGCGTAGACGCAAGATTGCTAGGCGGCGGGGGTCGTTGCGCGGGAGAAAGATGAAAGGCGTGTGCTCGGGCGAGGCCTCGGACGCGGGCGGGTTGTAGATGATTTGGTCGGCGGCGGGGAAAGCGGCGGAGCGGGAGGGCAAGAAGGAGTCGTGGGGGGCCATCTTGAGGCTTCGCTTGGTGCGGGCCGTCGTCTTGTGGCCGCGGGTCGAGATGAGCGGGACGACGAGGAGAGCGGAGGATGGTGAGGGAGAGGAGGAGATGGCGGCGGCGGCGAGGTGGCGGAGGGGGGCGACCAGCTGGGACGCTGGCCGGAGGAGAGAGCGTAGATCCATTGGGTTTGTCGTTTTTCTTTTGGTCTTGGAGTAAGACTTTTCCTTTTTCTTGTAGGTTTGGTGATGGGGGTCTTTTTTATGGTGTTGAGGATGGGGGTCTTTTTTATGGTGTTGAGGAAGAAGAATGTGCGGGGAGGTGAGCTGCGGCCTATGGCGGGTTGGAAATGGTCGGGTGAGACGGGGGGAAAGAATAATTGGGCCTTGGTGATTGGAAATTTCTCGACGGAATTGACTGGCCCGAGTCGCGTCGAGATGTGCGGCTGTGTTCGTGGCCGCGAGGTATCAGGTGTCGGCTGATGGCCTGTCGTTTCTACAACTTTTGGGCATCGTGAAGGGTTTTGCAACGGACGATATGTGGTTATGTAAGCAGTTTGCTTAGCTAAGACATTTGTTGTTCTAGACGGGTACCCTATCAACTTATCTATTATCACGTGGGGCCCTGCGGTTCATCTTTGACAGATGTTCGTACGAGGCTTTGGCTGTGGTGTTTCAATTACTAGAGTACATACTAAGAGAATGGCTCTTGGACTTTCCGTACATACATGATGGTCGGTGAATTTCAAGTACTATGACAATGGTGGTATAATGGATATCCTTTGTGATCTGAGTGTGTGACATGGTTGTGTCGTGAATCTGAAGTTGGAACGCTGGCTTACGAAGACCTTCATAGCTGTCATTGCAACGTCCATCAAGACACGAGAGGGTCTAAATTCGTCGAGAGCGTCAACACTCTACAAAGCTCTTAATGGTGAGGCTGCCCAGGAACGTACCTCATGAAGCAGTTGAGAAACAGCAACTTCACTGTGCAAGTCTCCAGTCAGTGATGATGTATACTATGGTCCTCAGGGTATGTAGCCAGCCGCAGACGGGTATCGACCAGGGCTTTGCTATGGCTTGTGGAGCACGAATTCATGTACTGAAGTTTTGATATTCAGTAACGGAGGTGTGTAGCAGTCTCTAGGGTGACTTGAGCACCCTGGTCAGAGAACCCTGGTCGGTACTCATGCACTGTTGACTACTTTCGCCGACTACCGCAGTACGAGTATTCTCCTCGGACAAGCAGACTAGCCGTCGGGGACCTTGCATGGTGCCATGTGACGTTGACAGCCTCAGCGGGATGGGGCTAGTAGTAGCAGCATCATCCTCGACGCAAAGGTGCCTTTTCGCCTCTTGCCTGCTTTTGGAGGCTCTGGGATGCAGGCGAGGGTGTCGACGACGACGATGAGGATGATGATGATGATGATGATGCTGTGCGGGACAAGACCCCGAATGGAACCCCGTCTGGGGCAGTCCTGACGTTTGACAGAACCAAAAAGAAATCACTCAGAGTCAGGTCATTTCGACGGCCCAGCCTTTGTCCGACAGACGAGGCCAGCGGTTGGATCACCGTCAATATCGAGGTACATGGGAGAGCTAGACTTGTCTCGAATGCGTGATCTACACGGTCACAGTCGGCGACCCTCGAAGCCACGCCTCAAGTCTTGACTGGCACAAAGCACGAAGACATTTGGGACGACGCCGTCATAGCTTGTATGACGGGGTTTGGGAGACCGCATGATGCGCGCCTGCGTCTCCCTTCGACTCGCCTTTGTCCATCCCGATGCCCTCGAGGCGATAAAATTGCTGGCATATCGAGCCAATGACATATTCTGTGGTGCAGTTTCCATTGTTAGTGTGCGGCCAACTGCGTGGGATCTTTTCTGCCCTTGCAAATTGGTCGCATGTTGTTGGTGCTTGTTGAGGGGGGCGGACGAGACATCACGAGGACCGCAGAAAAAAAAAAAGGAAAAGGAAATAGGCTTGTTCAGGCATGGTCGTATTAGCAAAGGCGCATGAAGAAATGGAAGAGGGATGCAGGAGTCCAGTCGGTGGAAAGAGATGGAAAACCCAGGGTCTTTTTTTCCTAGGACTATCCCCAATCCCTGGTCCATTTGGACCCCTCGTTCTTGTCTTGAGTACCTTACTAGCAGATGTCTCGCAATGACATGCTTCCAACTGTCGCTTACAGATGTATATCCTTTCTATGTGAGTCGCATGTGCAGATAGCAGATTGAGGGGTCGATTTCCCGGCTCACGATGGACCCGTCAAGACATTGCATATCACGAGCAGGAGAGAGCCAGAGAATTGCCTGCAGCGCATCGTCCCTCACGGCCAACGCGGGACGCAGAAGAGGGGTCCGATGAGGCTGAAGCGTGAGGCGCCTTTTGCTTGGGTGTAAGTCGTCAGAGGAGAAACATAAGGTACATAAGGTACAGGTCTCGATACTACCACGCATCTCAGCTTTTTAGGTATCTAAGACATCATATCTCTACCAGTCCCTGAAGATGGAGGTGGTACCAGAACGGTGTCGTGGAGCCCAGCATGATGGGGATGGTACATGAAGAGAAAATAGAAAAAAAGAGAGAAAAAAAAATAGAAATCGAAGCAGGAAACGATCAAAGAGAGGATGACGAAAAACCCCCAATTTGAGATCACATGGTAGCACTTTGTGGCAGCCTAGTGAGACTTGAGGGAGCCGAAAATGGCACGGATGTGCGAGGATGGCCGCTGCATTCAGCAGATGGTCCATATCGACGCTGCCACGTCGAGGCGATGCAATATAATCTGGATAAGGGCTGTCTGGATGTAATATGGTTTGTCGGTCCGTCAAAACGACCTCGGATGATGGTGATCTAGGTACCTACCTATGTAAAGTAGGTAAGGTAGCCTCGCATTGGGCCATTGTGCATGTGCCGGCTGCTGTCCAGATACATAGACGGAGTCGGCTGGTGAGGAACTGAGGTACCTTTCCTGGAGTATCGATCCAATGTTTCTTGTGGTGGCACTGGGGGCTTCAGGTACGGGCGGCACATGTTTGGCGTACATTGAGGGTCTGTCTGGCCTCTGACACTGGAGACGGCACTGGACTTTTAGCGATCGGTTCAATCCATGAAACAGTTTGGAGGTTTCCTGTACCTGTACCTGAACCCACACCATTCCGATGACGAGTGTGCCCAGCCCTGCCTGTACTCGGTACCTGAACGCCCCGAAACTTGCGCATGTACGTCACAGCCCTGAACAGGTCGCGGTCGCTTCCGCTTCCGCTTCCGCTTCCCCTACGCCCAAGGCACAGTAATAAGGTGCAGTAGTAGCTGTCTGGGATTCTCCCCTCATCACACCTCGTCACAATCCTTGGCCAGCTGCCTCGCCATCCTGCTGCTGCTGCTGCTGCTCCTCCTCCTCCCGCATCCCTTGGGGGGGTTTCGTTTCCTGCGTCAGATTATCGACTGTGACTGCGACTGCGACTGCGACTCGAGCCGAGATATCGGTCTGAACCAGCCCTTGCCTCCTCTTGGCTCTCTTGTGCCCGTCCAGCGCATACATACATACCTACAGTACATACTGCTTGGACATACGAGTACCTACACACACATACGGCAGACGGACAGACACAGACGGCCATCCAGGCGCATGCAGCCGTGAAAAACTCCATCCGCACCGCCAGCAGACTCCAATCAGACAAGACACACGACCCGCGATCCACCGCCCGCCGACCCTTTTTCTCCTCCCAATCTAGCGGGATCGCTGCGTCTAACCCAAGCCAAGCCGCTGCCTTGCGTCACGCTGCCTTGCGCGAGTCTGGCCCCCAAAAAAAAAAAGACACACACACGAAGGACGAAGCAACCAAAATTCAGCGAGGAAAAGAAGAAGGAAAAAAGGCACCAGGAAGCCAAGCTCACCCACCCCCCAAGGGTCTGACGGCACAGACTTGTACTTATTCCCCCCAGCTCACGCAGACTGCTGGTCTGGCGCCTGTCACACCAAAACGCACCTCTCACTGCTCTCGCGCACTCAGCGGGTCCCGCTCGTGTCATCTGAGGAACGACAGCGGCCCCCCCAGCAAGCAAGGTACGACGTGCGAAGCAGCATCTGCTTCACCAATATTGGTCGCCACCCCCGTCTGTCTTCTTCCCCTTCGCAGGGCAGCGACGAATGGCGGCCCTTGGATTCGCCTAGCCGTCCTGCGTGTCGATAAAACACTCGCCAGTCCTCTTCTACCACTTGCACCTCGCCGTCCTCATCGCTTCCATCGCTGCCGTCGCCCTCATCGTCTCATCCTCTGCCCGTTTCCTGTTCCACCGATCACCCTCTCTCCTGTCGATCGCGCGCGCACACACACACACACACATACGGCCCTTGTACATACATTGACTGCGTCTTTCATTCCCAGACGACAGTAATCCCCATCAGCACATCATACTAAAGCCGAGCCTGTCTCCAGTTGCTCCAACGACCAAGCTGTGAATCAGCAGACGCGTGCATCTATTGCTCGCCGAGAACCTGTCGACGGACAGCATCTCCCGCCGAGCGCTTCGGCTCCGCGACTCGCCTCGCTAAACCCGCCCAAGCCAGTCTTCTTACCGCCTCCGTCGGCGCGACAAGACACAATGGCCGACCAGAAGAGCGTTGGCGGCGATTCAACGCCCAGAGCGACCGATGGCACATCCCCCAACCCGATAGAGCAGTTCAAGAAGGAGAGCAAAAGCAAGAGGCGAAGCCTTTTCGGTTTCGGCAAGAAGAAGATGGACGGCTCTTCCAAGGCTGGCCCTGGATCCGAGAGCCCGAATGGCGCCCAGTCACCGTCAAAAGCCTCGACCACCCGCTCGACCGCCCGATCAACGACGTCGCCCCTCCAGCTCACCCAGCACGGCGACCATCCGTATGCCCCTGTTTCTCCTACCCGTGCATTCTCCAGTTCGCCAAGAATATCCTCCCCCGCGACGTCGCAGATATTCGAGCGTGACGTGCAAGACCACACCTTGTTGAAGTCGTCGTCTCAAGCCATCCCGAGCCACATCCAGACGGAAAACTACATCCCCCCGGTGTTGGATGATGCCTCAGAAGCAATCACCAACAATAGCCTGGATCCCGATTCTGTTGAGATTGTTACTCACGCTTCGCACCAGCCCGCGTCGGCGGTCGTCCCCGGCACGAGCGCCAGTCACACCCCGTACGAGCAGACGTCGAGCGACTGGGCTTCGGAGCTCGCCTCGTTTGCGAACCGCGTAGGTTTCCCGCCCGACAGTGCTTCCAACTACGGCTCGCTCGACTCGGCCGATGTCCGCCGCCTCTCCTTCATCTCGTTTGCGGATGTCGTTCAGTCGGAGCACAGCGGCCACCATCTGCCCTCCATGTCATCGCGAGACAACATGCACATTGTCGGTCTGACGTCGCTGTCCGCGTCGGCCATGAACAGATCGCCATCGCCCATCCGCTCGCCCGTCTCCAGCCAGGGGCCCGGGACCAGCCCGCCCACGAGCAACCCCGGCAGCATAAAAGGGCTGGACATGAGCCCGTCAAGGAAACCGATAGGTAGCCCCTCGAGCGGGCAGTATACTACGATTACCACGCCAGGCGAGCTCAACATTGAGACAATGAGCCAGGCACTGAAACGCAGCGCGAGCAGAGACTTCAACAGTACTCTGCGGAGCAATCCCCAGAGCCCGATTGAGGGTCCAGGCTCGCGCTAGATGGGAGAGGGCGAGACAGACTTGAGCGACATGTCGGGAACTTTTCTGATGTACACCACGATTCCATCTGGGCAAGCTCACGTTTGGCCTATCTCCCACCTCCCCCGGTCCTTCGAGACCTGTTTTCTACCATTTTCCATCTTCTCCTCGTCAACTACACGAGCGAGCTCCTTTTCTTGATCTATCTTTTTTTTTATTATTTTTTTTCTTGACTCGACGTTGCCAGCTGCTTTACGCGCGGAATGTCGAAATTTGGACAAGCAAGGGTTGCGGGAGTTGGAAGAGCTATGTTTCAGTCGGGCGCTGAGCTGGCGGTGGCCCTCGAGGCCTTTTGTGATGCTGCTTTCCCTGTCTGGTTTGTTGATTCTATTGCCTGCCCTTTCTTGCTTATGGACAACAGGGAGTTGCCCCCCCCACTTTATCTTCGACGACGTGAAAAGAATGGGATGATTATTGACCGCCATGGGATGAATTTTGATTATCTGTTTCTCCTTTTCCATCTGTTTTTCTTGTTCTTCTCTTATTCTGCGGGAGAGCGGTGCGAAGGAGTGGATACAGCTTGCTTCTATGTCGATTACCTACCTACCTTACTTGAATGATTTGTACTAAGAATGAAGAGAAGTGAAATTCAAGCCTTGCCCGACTTGTTCAAACTGATATTACATATAAGCCGTCGCTGTTCTGGGGTTGATGTGCTTGTGTACCTTAGGTATGTAATGTCTCAAGAGGCAAGACGAGTCAAGAGTGCCAATGCCAATCTACCTTCCTGGGTACCTACCTATCTTGGGCAAAATCTGCAAACGGGACCTTGCAGGACAAGCTCTGTGCTGTGCCTTGTCTTGTCGACTGCAAGTCAGGTATAAACGTCAGTCGTCCCCACGCCCAGCAACGCAAGCAGGAGGAAGACGTCTTGTCATTTTTTTATGATCATGTCTTGTGTCGTGTCGTGTCGTGTCGTGTCATGTCTTGTGTACTTGGTCTGTACCTGTTGGAATACGTGTATTTGCCATGCATGCACCTCGAGTCATTCATTTTGCCCCCCTTCAATTGTTGCCAGCGAAGAGGGTTAAAAACTTGACTAGAGATGCCGAATTTTCTACGAGGATTGGATGTACTATGTATGTAATTGGTGTCTTTCGTTGGGGGGGAGAAGGAGGGGGGGGGGGGGGCGAGTCAACTTACAGATACATACCTAGGTAGGTAGTGAAAGGGGAGGGTGGAAAAGACGAACGAGACGGAGAGTGAGGAGTGAGCAGATGCTCCGTTGAGGCTGAAGTTGACTTGACTTGACTTTCAGCGATGACTGGGCATGAATACCTAGTAGTTGCTTCGAGGGGAACGGTTTGAGTGTTTATCGGAGGAAGCTCCGCGAGGTAATACAAGTGGCGTAGTGTATTATGGGTAGAATCAGGCCATTTCATCTTAGGCGGCCTGGAACCGGGCAAGTCATTGGGCAAGAGATGTAATTGTTCTCGTGAGAAAACTGTGCTGCATTCTGTTGTCTTGACAGTAAAAGGTTTATGTCCACATCGTCCTTTGCCCGTCTTGTTGTCGGGGTGAGATGCCGTCTACCCTTACGATCTTTGTAGGACGTGTTCACGGCGAAAATGGTTTCATGACGAGACAGGGTTCATACAAAAAGCAGAAGACGGAGTGTGAAGTCAATGTTGGGCATCTTTCCGAGATCATAATACTATACTTCCTGCTGCTTTTGTGTTTCAGATTCCGCGTGTGGGATCTCACCACCCGCTTTTCTCCAGTTTCTTCTCCCCCCCCCCCCCCCCCCCCCCCCCCCCCCCGTCTTCCTCCGTCCTCATCTATCTCTTTCTTTTCTTTCCGGTCAGCTTACAGGCCTACTTACTTTATGTTGGGGGGAGGGGGGGCCGTTGTTGTCGGAATGGGGGTTTCAGATTGATCGGACGACGGGGACTTTTTTTTTTCCCCTCTGGACGGGTTCGAGTGTGAGGAAGAGGTGTTTCATTGGGCTATATAGTAAGTACCATATATGGAAGGTAGGTAGGTAATAACAGAGAACAAGGTCAATACATAGTACGGGATGTGGGATGCGTAAGAGTGAGCTGTCGCTCTCTGGAGGTGAGTGTAAACAATACTATGCTACCCTCTATGCTGCTGGGAATAACATCAACTAAGTTGGCTTCAGATGTCGGCGACAATGGTCTTGGACTAGACCCAAATCCATTCATCAACTGATCAATCCAGCATCTTTTCCCATTGGCCTCATGTGAGCGTCAACGCACAGCTGATGAATCTTGAGCAGAACAGACCCCTAGTATACTCCAATACTATCTGGACCCTTTCCACCTGAGAGATGGTGAAATGGAGTTCAAAATTGTCTCACTGGTCTTGTATGTCCCTCAAATCCCATTCTTTTATCAGAGGCGAGACGGTGCCACAGCGGTTGGTTGAGTAGTCGTGCCTTGTTAGGTAGGTATCCTCGCATGCATGTCTCGCAGCGGGCATCACTGGCGTCGACGGCTTATTAAGCCTGTTCCTGTTCCTGTTCCTGTTCCTGGCCGGACCCAATCTCACCTGAATTGTCTACGAGGGATCCGACAGAAGCGCGGCTTTGTCCAACAGCACAGACAGTCTCACAGCCACGTCTCGCCAATGTCCTGTTAGTATTACTGCTTCTATCCTCCTGTCGTGTTTCAGAGGGCACCAAACCGTCGGTACATGGAGCAGCTAAGCTCAATAATACTTACGAGTACAAGCACCGCCTCCAGTATGTATATACCTACATAGGTACTATGCACGAGCATCATTCGCAAGGAACCCCCCCTTTGGTCATTCACCTTGTCAATCACTCACCCCTCTGTTCTCTTTTCGTTTCTTCTTCTTCTTCTTCTTTCCCCTTTCTTTTCTTTTTCTTTTTTTCCCAGTCGTCTATCGCGTCAAATGATGAGATAATCCAAGCGGCATAAACATGTTGGACGAAAAAGAAAAAACCACCATCTGACCGATCCAAAAGAGCGCTATCAGGGACAGGCCCTCCAGGCGCCGGCCAGACCACACCATAAATAGCCTGGCCTCCGGAGCACGTTCCTCAAAAAAAGAGGGTAAAAGAGAAAAAAAGGAAGAAAAAGAGGTCAAATCCCTGCCGGGCTGGCATCATTGGATCTGTGGGGATGCTTCTGGCAGAGCTGCGAGTGACTGCCGGCTTATTCCCTGTCCTTGTCCGACTACGAGTTATCGCACCTATGTAATACACAGATGCAGTACATCGTACAGATGGCCACTTTGACGCAGCAGCAGAAAGCTCAGTGCTGCTTCGACATGTAAGGCGTCGTTCGTCGTAGGCATCCTGAGTATTGGCGGCACTGCTCGCAGGCCATGGGCGAGATTTGACCTCCTGCTCAGAAGCGGTGCCTTGCCTAATCCCTGGGACGCTCCTCGACCGAAGATCCAGGTCGACGGATCGCTCACGGGGGGGGGGGGGGGGGGGGGGCTCACCGACGAGCCCCAGCGGATGGAATTGCTTATCATGCAACACTCCCGGGTTCCAGAACAGATCCTGGCACACCGCTTTTGGCTGAGGCTTCCTGGTCTTTTCCTCTGGTGACGTTGCCTAGTCTCCGACGTCAGAGACACGTCTAGACAGGGCAAAGGGCAGAATATACGAGTCGACCAGTGTCTTTCTGTATTCCTCCTTCTCAGCCAGCATCCTCGTATTCCTTCCACTCGCAAGAGCATCGCTGTCAATGCTGGCTTGGAATGCCTTCCATTTGATGCTCTCTTGATCCATGTCATGCCCAAGCTCCACCGTGACGCCACTAAGCCAGCAGGCCAGACATGGTGCTGATGGGCTTATGGCAGGTTGTTGATATGGCTTTGGCTGCTGGGCTTCGTGTTCCAGTCTCAATTGGCCCGGCCGCTTTCCGTCCATGAGGCCAGCAGAGCCTTCTTGTTTCCTTCTCCTTCGGTTTCCACTGCTTCGGTGCAGACGGCTGAACACGGCGTCTCCTGTACAACGCATCACCAGCCGCGCGTAAGACTGTGTGGCAAGGGGCTCCGTCTAGTATATCACTTTCTTGTAGTGACTCGAGACACGGAACAGACAGACTCAGCATCCTCGTCATCCTCATTTCACAACATCATCATCAACTTTGTCATCCGCTAGACTGCGGCCAGCAGGGGGCAGACCACGGATGAGAGCGACTTTGCCTCGATATAGAAGGATATTGGCGGCCGATCCCGGCCAGCATTGGAGTTTCGCAGCGTCAAGATTGATTCCCAGCAGGGTTATTTTGCTGCCTCGTGCTTTGATGAGGCAAAGGGACCACGGGCCGGTACGACTGAAGATGGCTTTTGCTTCGTCCATGTCCATCCCGCCGATGACGAGGCCCTGCGTGTCCGTAATACGCCGTGCGTACTCAGAAAGCCAACTGCGTGCCAGCCATCATTCGTACCTGTAGGATACAGAGAGGACGCTCCTGATCATGCCCTGCTTGGCTGCAATGTTGCCTGTAACTCGTAATGACCTTCCTCCTATACTGTGTCCTGCTGGCTGCCGCCTGTCATACTCGGTTGTACCAAGTGGCGTTGCGTATAAATGGACTTACCTAGAAAAGCAATACCAGGAGCATCGTGCGCGTACAACAGCATCAATTGAGACATGAGGCGTCTCGCTGGTTGCTTTCTATGTCCATGATGTTCATGATACCAAGGGAAGAGGATACCTACCTTAGGTATCATATACTAGGTACCTAGGCATCATGTAGCTTTTGGAGGCAATCGACGGTACCTGCAGCACCGCAGCTGCGGGTTTGATCCTTCCCAAACTCGAATTCAAAGACTGCCTCTTTCGATTGGAAGGACCTCGTACAGCTCCTTCTGTCTCTGCTGCCATCAAGTCACCAAAGCTCCTCTAGTGCTCGCACCCAATCTTCTCTTCGGCCTCACGCCTCTCTCAAGCATACTTCTCTCAGATACAGCAAGCATATTGAGCCCTATCTCTTCTTCTTGAAGCTCTCTCCAGGTATTATCAAGAGATATCGAAGTCACGGCTCCTCTCACCTGTCGTTAGCGCCAGCTTCACCTGCCGGAAGTGTCCAGAAGCCCGGTAATAGTGGCTGTTGAGGGGAGAAGAGCAACCAAGGTCTGCAAGTAGGCAGCCAACCGTCCGGCTCTGCAGGAGTCGTTGGGCATTGCACAGGCGCCCCAGAATTGCCCGAGAAAGCTGACATTGGCCGCACCGGGCAGTCGGTCGACACGAACCCAACAACGCACGGCTGCGTCTGCGCCTGGTCTGTGTCTGCCCCGAGGCCTCGGATTGCGGGCATGGCCGCAGCACGAGCACAGAGACCAACACAGCGACAGTTCAGGTAGTAGTCTGCCAACCAAAACCAAAGCCTAGCAGCGCGGGGTGCTGGTGCTTCACTCGCACGGAACAGCACCAACAACTGCGTGCTTTGTGCAAAGCATCCATCGTCCATAAAACGAACGACTGCGGTATCGTGGCCGCCGCCAAGCCCACGGCAAGCGGACGCTCGTCGAGAACCAACGACGGGCAATTGGGTCCATCTGTCGCCAGTCCATTTGTCCGGCCGAACAAAATCCTCCTGCTGTACATCTAGAGCAGGACCACGTCCACCGCCTAACTCGCAATCCCACCGCTCCGGTCCCCATCTCCCACTGCCCGCAAGCTCACTGGCCAGGACCCTCCAGGGCTCCGTGCTGATCGACACCGCAGCAGCACGAATTGCGTGGATGTGCCCCAAGGGGTCCCCGCTCAGGACTTGGGATTGCGCCTGTGGCCGCTGTGGACTCTCGAGAGGCACCAGGCAGGTTGCTGGAGCCCGGACGGACCACTAGGACACTCACACGACGTCAAGACCCTTCTTCGAAGCCTCCGGCGGGCTTGTGGCTGGAACTCTATTCCCAGGGTGTGTCCGGCATCCATCAGCCAGACCGGATTGGTGGTCGAGCTAGTTGTTGTAAGCACGCCAACAAGCCAGAGACGAGGAGTCGACGGAGGCGCTGCGCAGCCAAGGAGCGACTACTGCCGGTGCTGCCAGGGACAGAGGCGACGGGCCAGCGTCGGCGTGGGTGCCGCCGCCCTACCACGCGAGCTGGCAGCAGGCAAACTCTTGCCTGCCTGGATGTGACTGGCCGCCCGTGTGTTTGCCTGAGCCAACGCACGCATACAACCACCACACGCACCACCTTTTTCTCCTTCTACTTCTTCATCTTCCCGTCCCTCTTTTCCAACCCATCGTGGGGGGAGGCAACTGCAGACGACAGGTTCAGATCCCCCCCTCTTGGCATCAGATAAAATTCACTCAGCGCTTCCCGCTCCGCCGAATCTGGCCTAAATGCCAGCATCCTCGGTGTTCCGTCCACAGCACAATACCTACTAGCACCTATTGCTCCCCTGCCGCATCCCCATTGTGCCTCCACTCCGGCCCTGCTGCAACCCCCATCTGCTCCGTACAGTCCCTTAGTCCGCAACGTAGCGCGTGAACAGTCCAAGAAGCAGACCAGAACCCCGCTACGACAACGGCAACGGCAGCATCGTCGGTATTGGGGGCGTGAACGGCACGATACATGTACCTGAGGGTGACAAATGACGCTGATACCGACCCAGCGGCCAATTCGCCCCGGGTGTCGAGCAGCCGTCGCGCATCGCCAGGCCAATCGCTCCAAAGCTGCCCCGTCTCGACGCTGTTGGGGCCACCGGAGCAAAGCGACATCTGCGCCAGCACCTGCACAGGCACCAGCACAGGCCTCAGGAACGACGACGGCGACGACGGCAACGGCAACGACGACGTCAGTGCCAACAGCAGCACCATCAAGAGCAGCCGCACTAAGCGCAGTGCTACAGACTCGAGAATTGCGGGTGATACTGCCGGTGGCAAGAGTAGCAGCAGTAATAGCAGTAGCAGCGGCGGCGGCGGCGACGGCGACGGCGACGTTCGATGTGGCACTGGAGTCCGCGTGGTGTTGAGCAATGGCATGAGCATGTCACCGCCAGTCATGGATGGATATGCAACCCGCCTGCAAGAGGGCGGTAGTAGCGATAGCGAGGACCAGGCCCTGCCGCAGCGGCAGCAACAACGACAGGGCCAGGATCAGAGCCTAGCCCAGAGTCGGCATCCCCCCCAGGGCCAGATGCAGCAGAAGCACCAGCACCAGCGACAGCGACCCCAGGCCCCTCTGGAATTTCACCGGATCAACTTGGAGCGGCTCAGCGCTTCGAATCTCAGGTCTTCTTTTAGGGTCAATGCCAACCCGAGACCTGGTCGTTCCATCACACCTGACCTCCTCCAAGGTCAAGGTGGTGCTGCGAGCGCTGCTCTTTCTGACTCTGCCATGGCCCACACATCCCGTAGCATTGGCTCTCAACAGGGCTCGCCTAGGTCTGTTCCCGGGAGCGTTGGCCGTCGTCAAGGTGTCGTCTTCGCCAGCGACGTTGCTTGCGACTCTTCGGATGGCACAGACTCCAGCCCCGCGACTCACCACCAGAGAAGTGCAAACGGTGCCTCCTCGATACGGCCCAGGACGCGCACAATGGACGCCTCCATGCTAGGGCCGCGAGGGCCCTCGTCCGCCGCCGAGTTTCGACACAGGGTCAGCAGCATCTCGTCCGGCTCGCAGCCCTCCCTCGACGACCACAAAACGCTGAAGCCAAGTTCCGACCCGGCCAGCTACTCGACCATACCGACCGTCCGGGTCCCCGACGTCTCGACCCCGACCTCCAAGGAGAAGAACAAGTCCCATCACAACAGGCGCCTCCTCAAACGACAGCCCTCCCGCCCGACATCACCGTTGGTCGAGCCCCAGCCCTCCGTCGATTCTTTCCCGTACCCCATCCCAACCGAAGATGCGAACCGCCTCATATCGCTAATGAAGGCTCTGGGCGGGCGAATGCGTGGCGAGCTGGAATACCAGGGTGAGTACCAGGGAACATGGCACACCGGCATGGCATACATCGACGAGGAGAAGGGCACCCTCATGTTTGGCCTGGGCCATACCGGCCAGAATGCTTCCTTCCACATCCCTCTGGTCTCTGACCTGCGAGGCTGCAAGGTTCACGTCACGGGCTACCCTGATGCCGAGAGAGAGTGCCTCGAGGTCGTTCCCAGCCAGATGGGCCTCGAGCTCCTCATCAGGCCCATCATATCGGAGGAGCTGGAGCTGTGGCTCGCGGCCCTCTTGTGCTGGCAGCAGCTCACGCCTCTCAACCTCAAGGTGCCCAGTGGGAAGCCTGCCAGCCCTTCGGGGCACATTCGCCCGGAGATGAGGCGACGGGCCAAGTCGAGCGATGCGGCGAGAGCCACAAACATTATCAAAGTCGGCAAGTTCATGCTCTGGGACAAGGGCCCGGCCAGGTCCGCACGTGCTCTCGTCCAGCGATCCTCGACCCGGGATCTTATGCACCCGGCCATGTTCTGGAGGAGGATATCGTGCGTCTTGCAGGATAACGGAGAGTTTAGGCTGCTGATGGAAAACGACGTCTCCGTCTTGTCCAGCATCGAACTGTCGCAGCTTTCCCGGTGCGCAATCCAAGGCCTCGACCGCAGCGTCCTGGGAGAGGAGTACTGCATTGCCATCTTCCCCATCTACGCCTCTGCTGCCACCCACGTTACCATTTTCCGGCCCATCTACCTGGCCGTCGATAGCCGCATCGACTTTGAAGTCTGGTTCGCCCTGCTGCGGACATTCGCCGTGCCCGACATCTTCTGCCTAGACGACCCGCAGACCGATGAGATTCAGGATGTCGCCGATATCGAGAAGGATCAGCCAGGTGAGGTGTTCCGCATGGAGAAGATTGTCAGAGTGAGGGTGGTGGAGGCCAAGATCAAAGCCAACCCAAGCGGGCCCGAATGGTTTTCTCCAGAGAGATATGGCAGGGCTGGCCCGGATCCTCTGGTGGGTTGTTACCTAGCGGAAGTCATTTTGGATGGAGAGGTTCGCGCAAGAACGACTACCAAGATGGACACCAAGAACCCCTTTTGGAGAGAGGACTGCGAGTTTAACGATCTGCCTCCGATAATTCAAGAGCTCTCCGTTGTGCTGAAACGAGTCGAGAGCGGCCCTGAAGGTTACTCAAAGCCAATGACTTCTCAGGAGATAATATGCGGGAGCGTAAAGATCGCCTTGAACGACCTTGAGAGGGGCCAGGGCCAAGAACAGTGGTGGCCGATCTTGGACGAAAACCAGCAAAACATCGGATCGATGCTCATCAAGGTATTTCACGATGAGCACGTTGCCTTGCTGTCGAAAGAGTACGAGCCGCTGTCCGAGGTTCTGCACCGGTTCCCCACGGGCCTCACCACGCTCATTTCGGCATCTCTTCCGGGCCAGTTGCGTCTCCTCTCAGAGTTGTTTCTCAACATTTTCCAGGCCTCTGGCTCCGCTAGCGACTGGTTGATGGCTTTGGTCGAGGACGAGATTGACGGCATCGGGAACCAGACGTCAATCAAGAAATACCGCTTCAGTAACAGACTCAAGTCGAGCGAATCGCTGGAGTCCTCCAACGAACGTGAAATGATGGTTCGGGACATTCATAGGACGCTAGCAGGAGAGGCCAACCTCCTGTTTAGAGGCAACTCGTTGCTGACGCAATCGCTCGAGTTTCATATGCGACGATTGGGCAAAGAATACCTGGAGGAGATACTGCAGGATAAGCTCTGCGAAATCAACGAACTGAACCCGGATTGCGAGGTCGATCCGAGCAAATTGGCGCACACAGGAGCAGGCGCCGAGTTGGATCATCACTGGGGCCGTCTTATCCACCTCACGACGGAGATCTGGCTATGCATCGCAGACTCGGCCGAAAGAATACCGGCAGAGCTAAGACACATACTCAAATACATCCGGGCTGTGGCAGATGACCGCTACAGCGACTTTCTCCGCACCGTCAGCTACACTTCGATCTCGGGCTTCCTGTTCTTGCGCTTCATCTGTCCGGCCATCCTCTCACCGAAGCTTTTCGGACTACTCAGGGATCATCCGAAGCCGCAGGCACAGCGTACCTTGACGCTCATTGCCAAGGCATTGCAGAAGCTCTCCAACCTTTCGACGTTTGGAAAGCGAGAGGAGTACATGGAACCGATGAACCGCTTCCTGACCCAACAACGTCAGTCTTTCCGAGGCTTCATCGATCATGTTTGCAGTATCCCAGCCGACCGGACGGGCCGAGCCCTGCCTCCCAGCTACATCACACCCGTCACGATACTGAACCGTCTAGGACCTACGGCACGCGAAGGATTTCCCAGTCTGCCATATTTGATTGATCAAGCCCGGAGCTACGCGAGCCTTGTTAAGCTGTGGGTGGATGCACGACCTATTGATGCGAAACACCTGCAAGCCGACGGAGAGTTGCTGGTTTTCAACGACCTGTGTTTTGGGCTACAAAAACGCGCCGACGCTTGCCTTGCCAAGGTGATGGATTTCCGGAGCAGGGAAGTCCCATCGTATATGTCTGCCGACCAATTGGCCGAGATCCTGGAACAAGTCAACTTCACCGGCCCATACCACCCGTACTACCCAGGCAGTCCATCTTCGATGCCCAGCAATTACGAGCGGCCACCCGGAAGCTCCAGCAGCGATGGGGGCGGCGATACGAAGCAAAATCGGCGCAGTAAAGAATGGAAGCGCGGGAGAGAAGACTCCGACCCAAAAAAGGTCAACAGTCCTCGAACAGCAAGTGGCTCGGCCAGCGGAAATACGAAACAGAAGAATGGAAAAGTGGGCAGGACTCTGTTGAGTGGCATCATGAAGATTGGTGGTGTCAGAGCCGAAAGCCCTGAGAGCAAAGGGCAGCGATGAGCCCCCGCTTCCTCATCTTCGACTACTTCTTATATATAACACGCATATATACACATTACATGACTCGGATCTTGGGATATCAACCAACGACAAGTCTGTACCAGGGGTGACCCTCCACATCACCTTTTGTTCATCCTTTTCTTCTACTCTTGACCATACTTCGCGATTCGTCAGGCTACCCACATCTACCTCTTGTCTGGCTTTCTAGACATTTTCTATTTCTGGTTGGATACACAAAATGGTTTTCGGGACATGATGTCTTTTGCATGGAGCAAGTTGTTGAAGCTTTACTCCCATATTTCATTACGCTCTTTCGTTGCATCTTTCCGCTCCCAGCTCTACCGACCAGACTCTTCCCCTCCCGGGGTTGTCACTGGAACTGCATCGGGGGTCATCACTGGAGGTTCTCTCATCTCATGTTTATGCATATCCCGCAATTGCCCGGGTCTCCATCTTTCTCTTCTCCTTGTATTTCAGACGAGCCCCATATATCCCACCCGTCATCTCTATGAGAGGGCAGTCTATATATACAGGGGAAGAGGCAGAAGGGACAACAAAGACACCAGCGGCGCCTAGCTCTCGTTATCGTTACTATTTCCTAGCTCTTCTCATTTTCCCTCGACCCTTTGTCGACTCGACTGATGTGTATCAAAACCGGTGTTTCGAAGCAAGGTGGACGAAGAGGGGGGGTCTCCGCGCCTCTGCTCCCCTTGCCCCTTGTCGATCGTCTCTTCTTGTTCTTTCATCTCTTCTTCGATTTCTTATTTCCTCTCAGGGATGGGCTAGAGGAATGGGGGTTTTACTCTTTTGTTATCTTTCAGGGCCTGTGAGCACAATGTGTGTGTGTGTGTATGTATGTCATGCGCAACGGCAAAGCATTGTTAGATTTGGTTCGCCAGTTTCTGTTGTTTGTCTTGTCCTTTTTTTTTGTTTGGCGGTTCAAAGTTCATCGGCATTAGTGAGTGGGATTTTACTGGAGAATCAAGCAAACGAGTTCCCAAGTTGCCTGCCATGATGATTTTGATTTGTGTGTTTGTGCCAAGGCCAAGGATCTATCCTCCTCATGTTTCCTTGGAAAGACTTATTTGCTGTGAACTCATAGCATTTCTTATCATCTCTAATCCCTTGCCTAATAGCCGTAATGGTCATATTCTCAATGCCTGCTAGGTATTATCTACAATGATCTTCACCACCACCGCGTATGTGTAGTGAATTTGATGGAGTATCTCATGTCGAGGATCATGTACAGATCAAATCACCCGCCGAAACTGTTCAAAGGGGAAGCATATCAGATGATACAGGATTACATATCTTGTGTATTTGCGATGGTATTTTCACTTCCAGTTGAACTGCTAGTAACTATTGCAGCATAGAATATGCGAGACTTCTTCTCTAACCCTTTGCGCCTCCCATGCCTTCTTGATCATATGCTTGAGAATTCTCCGGCTTCACCCTTTGCCCGCCGCTGAATATTTACAAATTTCGCTTTTGCTCCTGATGGGTGTGCTTTGTCCATCCGCCTTGCTTTTCTTCATGAACACCCAATGCTGCTTTATCTTGACTTTTTATTTTTTTTTTACTCATTGGAAGAATTTCTTGTACGCGGCCTTCTCCTTTGCCGCCCTGGCAGCGGCCTTGCTTCGCACGGCGGTGAGCTCCTTGACGACGGCGGGATCGTTGGGCGCCAGCTTGTGTGCCTCCTCGAGATCCTTCAGGGCCTCCTCCTCGTCCTTTAGGCGAACATAGGCGAAGCCGCGGCGGTAAAAGGCCTTTGCGCGATCCGCGGGGGGGATTCCGTTGACGGCGAGGGCGAGGGTGGCGCTGTTGACGGCCTCTGACCAGGCCTCGAGCTTGATGTGCAAAAGGGCAGAGTTGTTGTTGAGGGAGAAGCGGACAGCGTCGAGCTGGGCCTTGCCTTCAGGCCAGTCATCCAGGTCAGGCTCCTCGTTGAGGTACCTCAGGCCCTTCTCGTACTTCTCAAGGCCGAGCTGCAAGTTGCCGGCCTTGAAAGCCTTGTTGCCAAAGTCCTTGCAGTCCGAGGCAATCTTGAGAGTGGTCTTGGCATCGGGAGGTGTGTCGCAGTCTTCGGGGAAGTCTTCGTAGGGGTCGCCCAGGGCATCAGGCTGCTTGACGTCGGCGGCAAGAGCTTCGTCTCCGGTGAGCTCTCCGCAGTCGGCGATGACGGCGTCGCGGGAGGGTCGGTCGCCAGCCTCGGTGCGGACATTTTCGATCTGGCGAACAATGGACTTGCCGTTCAGGACTTCGCCAAAGACCACGTGCTTACCATCCAGATGCGGCGTGGGAACTGTGGTGATGAAGAACTGAGAGCCGTTGGTGTCTTGAGAGTGGAGATGCACATGTTAGCTACAACTGCTAGACTTGCGAAGCTCCGAGGGAAGAGGGCAACATACTAGGGCCGGCGTTGGCCATGGACAGGAGGAAAGGCTTGTCATGCTTCTTGGGGAAAGCCTCGTCCTCGAACTTGGCGCCGTAGATGGATTCGCCGCCAGTGCCGTCTCCAGCAGTGAAGTCACCACCCTGTAGGGTTCATTGTCAGCGGACATGGCTTCAGCCTTGGGGAGAAGAAGCGCAGAGAGCTCTCATGTGCCGACTGCGAGAGAGGCACGATGGACTGGGCCTTACCTGAATCATAAACTGCTTGATGACTCGGTGGAAGATGGAGCCCTTGTAATGCAGGGGCTTGCCTGACTTTCCAATTCCCTTCTCACCAGTGCAGAGGGCGCGGAAGTTCTCGGCCGTCTTGGGCACGAGATCAGAGTACAGCTCCATGGTGATGCGGCCGAGCGGCTTGCCGCCAAGCGTGATGTCGAAGAAGACGCGAGGCCGCTGGGGCTTGGTCTCGGTTTCGGAAGCCATTGCGACGGTTGTGGAGGGAGAAGAGCTGCTGCTGAGGCGAATTGGTGTTGGAGAAGTCAGGAAGAAGAGACTGTTGGGGGGGTCAAAAGACGATGAGTCGAGTGTGGTGTTACAGCGGCTGAGAGACGTGCGCCTGCAGATGATTCCTTTGGCTTCTCTGGGTTATGACGATTGCGGGGTCGAGCTAGCAATTTGGGTGCTTTGGCCAAGCTTCGATGAGGTAGTAGTAGTAGATAGAGTGAGGGTATACAGATGCAGATTGTGAGAGGCAGAAGATGAAGTTGAAGAGGAGGGAAAAGTTGGAGAGTGGAAAGAGAGAAGGAGGAGGAAGAAGAACCTGCGAGGGCAGCTACGAGGCTACAAGTACAAGATCAAAGTACCTATACTTCCAGTTGAATTAAAGGCTGTGGTCAGCCGGGACCAAGTGAATCCATATCGGTACCTTGAGGATGCTGACAGCGGGAGCCGGCCAGGAGGTATTGTCATGGAACCTACTAGTAGATCAGCGGGTGCCTTATAGAATGGATTGCTTGCAGCTACAGTAGTACCTATCGTTGCACATGATTGGACAATGCTTCTCTTGGGCTCGTGCTATGTACTACTAGTAACTAATACGAAGTTGGCCAGAATAGCCCAACTGGAGCGAAAGGCGACGGCAAAAGCAGCCAGAAGTGCCGTTTGGGATGGATCAATTTTGTATTACCAGACATGTGAGCCCCTCCATGGCTGCCCCTCCATGATGGTGTTGGTGCTGCTTCTTCAGGCTCCAGGCGTTTGTTGGAGCATTTACAGTAGTAGTAGGTCCATAGTTGGAGTAATCTAGGGGCTGTTAGTGCTGGCGTTAGTGTCCAACCCCCCGCCATCGTGGAAGTTTCTAGCACCGGCTGCACAGATGAGTGGCTGGTCGGGCTCTGGGCCGCAGCGCATGAAGAAGCTGGAGGGGATCACGCATTGCATGGGTCAAGGATGACTTGTCCGGGGGGGTGGTTGCGGGCGAGGTGATGCGTGGGATGGTCTGCAGATTGCATACAGATAGATAGATACATAGATAGACAGGGACAGAGATCCCGGCGTTGTGTCTACAACTAGGTACTACAAGTATTATTATTGTACGAGAACATCAATGCATGCATGGTTATGGTGAGGGGCATTAGGTAGTATCAGATAGATGCCCGGTCGGTGAAGAGATCCGGTCAACGTAGAAAAGAGGTAGGGTTCTAGATCAATGCAACTCCCAATCCAACGTCTATCGAATGGTCGATCGTCTATCGTGTATATATCTAGATATAGCATCGTCATCGTCATCATCGTCATCGGTATCACAAGATACTCATCGCTCAGAGACTGGCGCACCCGCTTGGAGCTCCAAGGTAACCTGCCAACATCAACGCCATCAACCCTCCCGTGTCAGCAAAGTCTCTCCCTTCACACGGTCGAAGATGGCCTCATATCAGCAGCACTTACCGGCCCGTCGTTGACCAGCGCAACCTCCATCATGGCCTGGAACTTGCCGTCCTTGACTCGGTCCACCTGGTACATGTCCTTGACCCTCTGGACAAAGTAACGATACAGCCGGCTTGCTTCTTCAGGGCTCGCTGCGCCGTGGAAGTCCGGCTTGGTGCCCTTTTTCGTCTTTGCCAACAGCGTAAACTGAGAGACTGGTGATGTCTGTGAGCACCCAATTGCCCACGGCCATCAAGGTGCACTCCAAGAGACTCACCACAAAGAACCTCGCCCTCAATGTCTGTCACGCTCCTTTTCCACTAGTACTCGCCAACCACATTAGCTATCCATGTCTCGAAGCTCAATAGAGCCGCTTCCACTCACTCGTCCCCCCTGTTCATCATCCCAGAGTTTCATCTTGACGACTTTGTTGGCCAGTGAATCGGCCTCTTTCTCTGTATCGCCCGGCGCAACAGCCGCAAACACCAACACGCCTCGACCAATGGAGGAGACCAGCTCTTTTTCTACCGTCACAGACGCAGAGAGCACACGTTGGATGATTGCTTATCAACGAAAGATCAAATTAGATGTTGTTTTGCTACAGGAGTCTGGAACAACAAAGCCACTCCAGCATGGCAAGTGAAGCGTAATGGAATAGGAATTTTATCATGCCTACCCTTCATTTTGAATCTCCTTCCCCCTAAAGGCGCAAAGACTGGAATGTCTTGAGAAGAGCAAGGTCTATGTTTGCTTAACGATAGATAGGTATGTAGTAAACCAGAGGAAGCTTGGGGTTCGACGGCCGCCTCCTTGTCCAGCCTTGACCCGGCGGAACTGCAATGTCAAAGAAGAGACGAGCGAATCGCTGAAACAATAAGCACAAACTGAACTTGATTATGGTCCCGATACCGGTGAGCTCTCGACGTCTCGGTGACGGAAAAAAAAAGTGGCTTAATCGCTATCTATCAATCGTGCCTTGACTGAATCGTGCATCCAACTCCCGTCTGTGTCATGTGAGAAACGGCTGTAGCCACGACCCAGACATCCCGCATTGCCAGGTACCGTCTGATAGCGACAGGCGATGCTGAATCAACCAAACAGCCGTCTACTAGATGCACGAGAGATGAGACCCGAGATCACAATCGTCATGCAGACGCAAACATCTTATCAGTCATATCATTGAATAGTCCCCAATGCTTCTTTGCCATGCGTCTTTGCTGCAATCTCCGGTGCCTCGGCTAATCTTCGCAAAGCAACCGGTACATCCCACTGCTAGCCAAGTGCAGCCTCGCGACTTGGCCTCATCAACTTCCATCTCGCACGTTCATCGACTTCACAAGCCAGATCCCGCCGCAGCGCAACCCCCCGGTCAGCGTCCCGAATCCGATCTCGAGACCGACCGTCTCTGTCGCTTCCTCCTTCGCTTGCTGCGCATCTCTGCTCTGCCGCTGTCACGTGGCGCGCGACGGTCGAATCCCCTCGCATCTCGCCTGCATAAAAACCACCTTTGGCCATAGAGGTGACCCCACGAAAACGAACCAAAGGCCTCCGTCTCCCCTCGACGGAATCTCATTCGCACCTCGTCTGCACTGCAGGGCCCCAGCACACGCACCTCTGTGTCAGCGGCGGACTCCTCCCACACAGACTTAAAGCACCAGGCTCAACCGGCAAGGACGCTGCTCGGCCGTTTCTCCCCTCCTCAACCGACAAGATGGCGGCGAGGAAACTACAACAAGAAGTCGACAAGTGCTTCAAAAAGGTGGCGGAAGGCGTCGCCGAGTTCGAGGCCATCTACGAGAAGATCGAGCAGTCAAATAACCCGGCCCAGAAGGAGAAGCTGGAAGACAACCTCAAGCGCGAGATCAAGAAGCTGCAGAGACTGCGCGATCAGATCAAGACATGGGCTGCCAGCAACGACATCAAGGACAAGGCTCCCTTATTGGAGCACCGAAAGCTGATTGAGACTGTTGGTGGAACCCCCGTCATGTTGGGCATTGATGCATGTGCTGGCGCGTACTGACCGTTGTCTTCTCCTCTTTCTCCCCCCTCTAGCAAATGGAAAAGTTCAAGGCCGTGGAAAAGGCCATGAAGACCAAGGCGTATTCCAAAGTGGGACTCGAAGCCGCCGCGAAACTGGATCCTAAAGAACAGGCCAAGGTCGAGGCCTGCGAATTCCTCAGCAGCATGGTCGACGAGCTGGAGCTTCAGATCGAGACCCTCGAGGCCGAGAACGAATCCATACAAGCCACCCTGAAGAAGGGCAAGAACAAGACTGCCCAGGAAAACCGCATGGCTGAGATTGATCAGATCATCGAGAGGCATAAATGGCATCAAGGCAAGCTGGAGCTGATTCGAAGAACACTGGAAAATGGCGGCATCGACACGGAGCAGGTCAACGCCTTGGAGGAGCAGATTCGCTACTATGTGTCTGACGGCATGAACGAGGACTACATGGACGACGACGAGATCTACGACGAGCTCGACCTGGAAGAAGAGGAAGGCGTCTTTGGAATGAACCAGGATACCGAGAAGAATTCATCCCAGGATACGCAGTCCATACAGGATGACGTCCACGAGATCGAACCGCCATCCAAGGCGAGGAAAGCCGCCAAGGATACCGATTCCACAACGTCGTCGACGACACGGGCAAAGTCCGCGCAGTCCAAGTCTCCCCTACCGGCGCTGGCCACGCTCCATACTCCGCTGTCTACGATAGGGGCTGGGGGCAGCGGCAGCCCTGCCATGAAGCCTGCGTCGATCCCCACGAGGCCGGCAGGGGAGGGCCTCAAGTATGCGTCTGCCGCTGCCGCCGCCGCCGCCAGCGACAAGAACAATGTTGGCATCGCTCCTCTACCCCCGCCACCGGGTATCAACGTTGGCATATCGCCGCTACCGCCTGCGCAGTCGAGAACAAGCGCCACCAACTCTCCCGCCGTCTCGTTCGTACAGCCCGCCCAGGCCTCGTCGTCACAACCCTCCGAACCCAAGCAATCTGCGCCCGCACCTGCTCCCGTGCCCGCACCCGCACCCGTCGCCAACGAGAACGCTGAGCCTCCGAGTACGAAGTCGACGAAGAAGTCCAAGGCTTCGGGGAAGCAGCCGGCTACCTCGGAGGCATCATCATCCGAGTCTCAAAACGGTACGTTGTCGAAAGCCCCAAGATCGTCTTTGTCCTTTCGATTTCGCCTCCCCTCTGCAGCCCAAGCCCCCCATCATCACTCAAGATCTTTCGCTAACATTTGGGTACCAAAAGCCCCTCCTCAAACCAACGGACCTCCTAATGGATCTACGAACGGTGTCAAGCCCGTTGCGGAAGAAGCCGAAGAGGAATCCATCTACCATCTTCCTGCGTCATTACAAGACCTCGTCGACTCCTACGAGACGGCGCGGAAACGGCCATACCAGCCCCTGTCACAGTCCACGCTCAACCTCCTGAGGGCGAGCGCACAAAACTATCCGAGCGCGTTCGAGGCTGATGTTCCACGGACGTATCGTCCGGACATGCCGGTTCCTCAAACCGGTTCCGGGTTTCCCACCCAGCCACTGCCCATATTCGACGATCCGCGGCTTTACTCGAGGATTGACCCGGATACGCTCTTCTACGTGTTCTACTACAAGCAAGGAACGGCGCAGCAATACTTGGCGGCCAAGGCGCTGAAAGACCAGAGTTGGCGGTTTCATAAGCAGTACCAGACCTGGTTCCAGCGACATGAGGAGCCCAAGAATATCACCGAAGAATTTGAGCAGGGCACGTACCGGTTCTTCGACTACGAAAGCACTTGGTAAGATATCTCGTCCTTAACTCACCCTCGCCCCTTTTGTTAACCTCGTCTGAATTAACTCGCTAATACGCTTCTCACAATAGGATGAACCGAAGAAAGGCAGACTTCAAGTTTGCTTACAAGTTTCTCGAGGATGACATCTAGGCAGTACCTAGTTGGCTTTTCTTTACGACGGAACACGCACGGGCTAGGGCTAGGGGGAGTGACATGTTTTGCTCTGTTTTCAGTGGCTTTATGTCCATGATGTTTTACCTTTTTCCATTTTTCCATTTCTCTCGTCTCATTTCTTTCTTCGGTATGGGAGTTCTACAGAGAGCATCATGGTAGCTGTGAATAACACATGGTCGCTACCACAGTTGGGTTTTCTCTCGGACGGGGAATGAAACTAGTGTCAGAATAAATCCATATGAAGGCGGGCTTTGATCCGCACTGGGAAATCTGTTTGCCATTTGTTTGCCTTGTGTGCTCTATCATTTCCCAGGCTCGTCTTTGTTACTTTGGTTCTTCTCTCCCTTATGTGACGCGTGGGTGATTGTGCGTTGAATGCTACGATGCCAGCTTGGGTCCAAGTTAGAGGCTTTCTGCTGGGAAGGCAGAAAAGGGGGGAGGTATTCCTGAGCCTGCTATCAGGGTAGCTTCAGGGTCTAAACGAGGCCTTGTCAGTAGGTGATTGAAACTATGTATATGATTTTGACATATTTTAGAGCCAAGACTCTGATATTGGAGGGCGGCTTGCGACAACAGTAGACCTGTGAATGTACCGCGCTGTTACAGGTAAAGGTAAAGAGTAACTAGGTAGGTAGGCTTCAACGTTACATTCCCACCAGTACTTTACCTTGACAATGTGTGAAGTTTATGAGTAGTGACCCTAAATCTGAATATATAGATATCTTGCTCGCTGTGAAGTGAAATGCCGTCCAACGGTAGAGCTGGCTTCAAGATCCTATACCAACATACAACCTGCTGCTCTTCTTCCCACTTCTTCCCCGCATGGTTATACTTCAGCAAACATGCTTCAAAAGTAGTGTTCATATGACATCTGGTACTAATATATAAAGCTGGCTGGTGCTTTACATCGAAGTGTAGCGACTACATACAGTGTTAGCCCTTGAAGTCAGAAACTGGATGCGGTAGATGGGTAGCAGCTAGGTATTGGTATCCGAGTACAAACAGGGTAAGCGTATGCATAACGAGACCTGACCTCTGTCTGCCCCGACTTATCTTGGTATAACCCTTGGGCCAAAGACCTCTACGATTGATTGAGCGTACGACTATTAGTGGCATCTCGTGGATAGTTGGGTTATCGAGATGACCTTCCTCAATCGCCTCCCCCAACTTCCCCGCATAAGCCTCGATTCAATATGCCTGCTAGCCCACCCCTTTACAGCGGTTCTTTTCTCAATCTTATGTATGGGTGGGGAAGCCGGTATGACTGCATTTGTATTCATGTCGAGGCATGACTCGCCGCAAAGGTCGTGAGCTCGTTAAGAGACGGGGGAAGGGGGGAGGGGAGGGGAAATAGGAGGATGTAACTTCTTGCGTGTGGGGGGGGATCGTGTTATGTGCTTGTATTTGATTTCGTGTGCTTGGGGTGTGTTTGATGCCTATCTAGCTGCAACCGTGGGTACATGGCGGGTAGCTTTGCAGATTTGACTAGTGAAAGTGTAAGAAGCATCTGACATCTCATCTGGCATCTCGAATGATTCGATCTGGAGTGGACTCCCCCTTGTCCTGTCTCTGCAGGTATGGATAAGGGGGGTGGTCTTGTCTCCCTCAGGCTTGTATAGGATTAATGTGAATCCTTCTAGCACCTACTCGCTATTCTAACAGGTACAGACTAAATCTCGGCAGCAACGTAGGAAAATCCTCCAAAGGAGCCACCAATTCCAAGGTATTCCTTTACAAATGATTTTGTCCTGGAAGTGTTATTGCCCGTTTGCGTTGCACTTGTTTGTGCATGATGCCATGGAGACATGAGGCTTGGAAGCGGAGATATTTGACGACACAGGAGAAGCTGATAGGATAGCACATTGGAGCAAACGGACTCCTTACCTGCAAGTTGTGTGAAAGTAAGGCTCGCTATTGGCAAGTGAAGCTGCAGAGACCAGCGTTCTGTTTGTCTAAAGGGGGTGCCGAGTGAGTTGTTGACTCTAACTTTTCTGAATCATTTAGAGGATTAGCTGTAAGTCTGCAGTTAGGCAAGATGAAAAACTCAAGTAACTGCATGCTTTCGAGTAGCTCCGTTTGCAATTGTTCCTGTTTGTTCAGTCCTCCGGGGAGTATAGAACTACTTCTTTCCTCTGATTTCAAAGGACGGCATCTCGCACTCTGCAACCTCTTGCATCTCTCCTCGCACCTGAACTACACTTGAGAAACAAACCTACTACTCGGTAAGGAAACAATCAGTCTTGCAAATACGTTATCGTCATAGCTTATCTAACAGAGTAGAAGCATCGCCAAGATGAGTATCGGCAACAAGCACGTCTTGTGGTATGACCCAACTACCAAAGAGGAGCTCAAGGCTCAACGACCTACCGCCTATCAAACCGGCAAAGGCAACGCTTCTGGTGGCATCCAAGGCATGACCGACCCAGACACGGTCAACTTCAAGACCACCGTCTTCAACAAGGTGGCCAAGTCCTTCTCCGCGCTCTTCAGCAACCACGCGGACCGGTACGAGCGTCGCAAGGATTGCCCCGTGGGCTGGACCACCGGCGGCCAGATCGGCTGGCTCCGGGAGGAGCAGGACTCGCAGTACCATCTCATGGAGGAACTGGAGCTCAAGATTGAGGGGCTGAGGAAGGACGTCAGGCAGCAGGAGGAGCTCATCAAGGCGTACGAGGTCAAGGTGGCGCAGAACGAGGAGTACCTGCAGTACTGCATGCACTGGATCACCATGGCGCAGGTGTTTGGGGATGTTCCCGTTGCCAAGGACCGCATGATGTGGAAGTCTGGCCGTGTTGTGTTCGAGGAGGACAAGGATGAGGATGAGGACGAGGCTATGGAGGAGGATGCTAAGGGAACCATGGCCTCGGGCACTCATCACACTGCTTACCAATAGATGACGGCATTTGAGATGGCTTGCGTTGAGTTGAGCCTGGAGTGGTCTCCTTCTTCCATCGTTGGATCTCGGAACAGGTCAAGGAAAATGCCGCTGTCGTCTACCAAGACAAGGCATGGATTCGTATCACAGACTCTACACTGTTCCTACTTAGGTACATTAGCCTAAATACAGCAGCAAAAAGAGTGTTTTACACAAACCTGTAGAAGTGCCGGGGAGTTGTCGAAATTGACTCATCAAGTGTCTAAGGTATGTTAATCCTCAAAAGGTCCAGCAGATGGTCGAAGTGTTACGCCCAACCAGGGCAGTCCACAATAAGGTATGCCTTCTTCCAAAGTCGGTCCTTCTCCGAGAGATTTCCATCTTCTCCTTGCAAAATCGCTCTTTCCTTCTTTCCTTCTCTCCTTCTCTCCTTATCTCCAAGGATCCTGCCATTCAGAGTTGCCGAAGCCCAGGCGCACTTGCCGAAGTCCATGTCGTGCTAGGGCTCAAGGAAGGCGCACGTCATGCATTCCGGCCTGTCTGTCTCTTTCCCACGCTCTGCTACTGCTTAATGAGATAACCAATGCAGTTGCAAGTCACTGCTTCTCTGGAAAAACTCCTCCCTTCCGAACTCCCGTTTTCTCTTCTAGCTGCTTCACTCCATTGCAGCCGGGCGTTTTGCTTCTATGCATTCTCTCACTCTGTCGGACTTTTTGTTTGTCTCGCCTTTGTCGATATACCGACGGGTTTGACTCCCTAGCACTGCTTCTTCAGAGTGTCTCCATACTACAGTTGCTATACTGCGGTACTACATACATTCGCATGGAGCCTGTTCAGTCTTCCCTTGGTCTTCCTCACATTGCCTCCGGTACAAAACAAATTGTGTGCCGCATTCGGGGCATGCAAGCATCAACAAGAGCTGATAGGCCGTCGTCACAGCCTAAAAGCACAATCTGACACCGCTTTGTCCGCCCATACGAGTTTCCGGCCCTGACCACCAGCATTCGGAGACCAGCCATCAATTCGATCTAGCTTGGTACGATCTTCACTGGATATGGCCGGAATCTTGCATCATCTTCGCCCGCTGGATAAGCCCGAGCATGAGGCTACGGGTAGATCATGAGCGGTGTCATCACCTGTACTGTAGAGAGATGAATCTGTAAGTTCGACCCACGAGATTGCCCTGAGCATTAGCTGACATCCGTCGCTTCTACTTAGATGACTTAGGAAGAAGCCAGGCGTACCTTTTTGCCAGGCTTAGTTATGCCGCTCCAAGTACTCTGTCGCCTGCGCAGGCTCGTATCAGCATCCCACATTCACGGACGTCGGTTCACGTCTCTCCTTGGATCGGCCTCCGCGAAATGACGGCTGCCTAACAGGAGGGCCTGTACACGAAATACGTGGCCTCTGCCTGCTCACTGCCATTGCCATGGTCTCCAGGTGACAGGGACCAAGATCGCTTCGGATCGCCGTTTGACTATCTTTTTACACGATTCCTTCCGTTTCGACGGCTTCAGCTTGTGTGATTCTCCTGGGCATCTGATGCACCACAAGGGAGAGTTACAGGGGCCAAAATCTTGCCACGAGTACCTTTGCTTGCCCGGCATCGTGATTACATATTCGACATCGGTCTTTGCATCGACTGCTCTTTGTTTACAGCCCGATTGGAATCGGTGTCCGCCCTCATACCCAAAATTGAGACTAATCATACTGCCCAAAGCAGCTCGTTACCCAATTCGATTCATATGCGAAGCAGCGACTTTGCTGGGGTAATTAGCCCTCGAAAGAGCCTTATCCGCGTCGACATTGAATAGACGGTCATTGTTGGCGTCGTGTGGCTTACGTTTCTCGGCCTGCGAGTGGTGTTGATGCAAGGGCTAAGAGGGGAACCCCTCGTGGTCATATCTCTCGTCTGCGTGCGTCTTCGCACGCGAGCCCGAAGTTGTTTGTCGACATCGATTGGCCGATTGAATATGAGACAACTTAACGCTCAATCTACCGCTGCCGAATCTCCCGAGTCAGACGTTTCAGCACAACCGCCATCATCTTGACTCTCGCGCGCTTTAGCGCCCGGGATCTCTGCACTTGCTCTCCCCCACAAGAGATGGTAAAGTGGACAATGCCCAAACGACAGATGCAATACTACTGCGCATTTGCCATGCTCCTTCTTGTTGGTACCGACACGATGGAGCGGCAAGGGTCTGGAAGCGGAGCACCTACCTACAAAGCACGATGGGTACTGTCAATCATAAGCCGGGAGTTCCTGAAGGCGAACGAGCTCTTTTGCGACGTACAAATGCAAGAGTTCGGATCGGTGTGGAAGCAACATAGCCGCCAAGACTCAGCCGCACGCGCTGTCAAAGCCATGAACCGACTTGCAAGTCCCATAGGGCCGGATTGGGAAACAACAGCCACTGGAGATTTGTTTGGTTAGCTAGCAACGGCTTGGAGGGTCGCGATTCGGGCTCATCGCCGGGTGCCTCGAGTCTGTAGCTCCTCTGTGGGGAGCAAGATGTGAGTCCTGCTCTCCCGTATGGCGATGCATCTCTCGCCAGTCCGCAAAGGGTTTACAGGGTCTGACCATCCATCTCCACATGGCTCTGTCCATGCTGCATGTCGCACAGCGTCTACTCCTCACTCAACTGCGGCCCTTGTGCTTCACTTGCTCAACCCCCCTCCGCATAAGGTTCTGTAAGTATCGAGGAGCAGACTAGCGGATACGTCGACGTCACCTTGGGAGCAGGTCCTTCTGACGAGCAACCCTGGTACAATTCCGCCCTACCGGACCCCGTCCATACGCGCTAACTCTTGATAGCTTCTAGAAGCCTTGCTGCCGATGTTACCTCAAGGACGGGGGTGCCTACAGAGTACGAGGTTGAGAGTTCATTATCTACTTCCCGTGTGTTGAAATAAACACAGCCCTTCCCCTGGCCGTTCTCAGATGGGAAAGGCTACGCATATATGCTTGTACTTTTGGCTGCTTCGTCCATTAAACATTGGACACAAAAGCTGCCGACTGCCCTCCATCTGGGGCTGCCTCTTAATACCGAGCGACATCCTCATATCATTATATAACAGCATCCTCATCAACACCTTTTGTACCAACGTGACCTCTTAGTCTCTTGTGCAATTGGATACAATTGCTCACCCAAGTATCGTCAATCTCAGGAGACGATAGCTGCTCTTCTTCGTCGAGACCATCGGTCGTTCGTCCTTGGCGTTACTCGTACATCCCGAACACTATGGCAGACGACGATTTGCAATTCAGCTCCTACAGCCAGCTCTGCATGGACGCTCGGCTGTATGACGAGAGCCTGATGTACGAAGAGGCCCAGATGTTCGAAGACAACCTGCCGTATGGCGACTGGTTTTCCTTCGATATCAATAGCAACACTATTATGGCAGGCACTCCAGAACTCTGCGACTCACAGCCCGTGTCTCAGTCTGGGGGCTCAGAAGGAGGCTCAGAAGCGAGCTCCCCCGCAACGCCGACGTCTACAGACTCCTTCTTCGCACACCAGACCTCGCCGGCCACCAGCTCATCTTACTTCCCGTCGTATGCAAGCGCCAGCACGCCTGCATCATCGGCTTACAGCAGTCCGGATGCCACTCCTAGCCAGGAAGTGGCCTCGCCCTCGGAATCGCCAACGTAAGTTGCCCTCTCTGAGCGTTCGCAAGACCGCCAGCGGCATTCGCGGTTAACCAAGCCTGAGCATACATAGGTTTGCCTCAAGTGGCCGCGACTATCCAGTGTGCTGCCTCCACCCGGGCTGCGATGCGAAGCCCTTCAAGCGTCGCGCCGATCTCGACCGTCACTACAAGCACAAGCACGCTCCTTCTTCTCAGAAGGACTCGTATCATTGCGATTACGCCCGCTGTGGCCGGCGCCGTGACCCCTTTCACCGCCGCGACCATTTCCGCGACCATCTGAGAGACTTCCACAAGGAAGACATTGAGAAGCGTGGGGTTGCCGCCAAGGAAGACTGGTTCGAGGGCCGCAACGCTTCACACACCTGGTGGCGATGCACCAAGTGTCTCAAGAGAGTCTACATCAGCCGGCAGGGGTACGAATGCCCTACTTGCAAAACATCCCTGCAGGCAAAGCGAAAGGAGATACGCCGGCGAGAGTAACCGAAAGAGACGAGAAGCCCAGATTCGCACCAGGGCACTGATCGGCTTCGACCATAGCGGCGTCATCAACCACTTACACCCCCCTACCCACCACCCCCCTCTACCGCTGCCTCCTCCTCCTTCTGACTACTTGCATGACATCCCACCAAACAGAAGCTGTTCGCTCTGGACGGACTGCGCTCCTTTCCGTCAGAGTTTCGACTTTTACATCTACCGACATACCATTACATAGAGCGGACCATCACTCTCCCAACGAATCTTACGGATCGGGCCTGTTCAACCCGGTTTCTTACAGCATGAGCCTGTGCTTTCCATCTGAGACTCTTTTGTTTTTTCCCCTACACTTCCTGCAGGCCGCACCCAATGATACCATAGTTGCAGAAAAAAAAAAGCTACTTTGTTAGCAGGTAGCGGTTAGCTCCCAAATACCACTTACATATCAAGTCCTTCTCGTCCGAGATGAGTGCGGGGAGCTAGTATATGCTCAGTTCCTCACGCGGGGACTCGCCCATACCTTACTCGCTTGTGGCGTGCATCCTTGCAGCGCGATAGGCTTCCTCTGATATCGTTCAGCTATGCCTTGCCCAGCCCGGCCCCGACTCCGGCTGTGAAGCAAGCAAGCACCAGTGGCTGAGCTGGCTCGAGTTGACCACTCTGACTTTCCCCGCCTGTGGCTCACTGCCGAGCCTTGGCCATCAAAGGCAAACGGACATTCATTGCAACGTCAGGCTACACTCTCCGCCTGCCCTACCGTACTTGTGGTTACAATGTCATCAGGCAAAGGCGGGGCGGCTGGCCGAGAGCCTGGAGGGCTGCATGAGGTATCCGCACATCGTTCTTGCATTTACGAAGGACCCAAGTACGAGATATCACCAGGTACAGGGAAGGAAACTGACAGTTGACAGAGGGGAACGAAAGGCTTGCATGGTTAGCGTCGAGCTGGCAGCCTCGGGAGCGCGAGCTTTCATCACAGGTGTGTGTGTGTGTGACTGACTGGGTCGACGCCGTTGCGTTTCTTTTCTTCAACAGCAGTTGGTGGCGCACAGTTCAGTTCTATCAACAAGGCACAACGAGCAACACACGCACACACCACTTTCACTCACACACACCTTGGAGCTTTTGGGCTGATGGAGGGGGAGCGGCGTCCTATTGGCCGCCAATTACGATTGGGGGCTTCATGTGTCTTTTTGCTTTTTGGGCAAAGTCTCGAATGTGGGAGTGAGACGTGATAAAAGAGGGAAGCATATAGTTTGAGGCCGTGGATTCGATGAGTGTGCTTTGTTTGTCTTTGATTGACTCAATTGGGCCAAAATACTCTCGGCAGTTGCGTTTGTCTTTGGGTTGGCGTTCGGCGTCTGGCAAACCAAAAAGCTCTTTGTTGCTACCGATTCCCAAGTTGTTTTCTGGGATATCATATTGCATTGCCTTGTTTCTTCTCCTGTCCCTTTCACCTCGATACTTCTCCCCATTCACCACGTCCCACTCCAAAGAGCACTACTATACTCGAAATAGCCGACAAAAGCTCATGCAAATGACTCCGTGACAAACGAGCCGCGCGATCACAACTCACCTCGAGGGAAATAAAACGCAAATGATGCGATGAGATATGACGGGGATCGTATCGGCTCGGTTCAGCAGGTGGCGGCTAACGTTGGTGCTGGGCTTGCTGGGGTAGCATTGGCACGGAAAATCGGGGCCCCGGAGCATCTTCAACGGCTCTGCCAGTATTGCAGTTGCTCGTGAGATGCGGGAGAGCCTTTCGGTTATCACACGCACCGCTTGCCGTTGATGCTGCCTTTGCCCTGCCTTGTGCTCGTACCTTGCGAGTCATCCCTGTGCGCCATGTCGATTCAAGCAAACGACAAAGAGGCGCTTCCTTTCCTCCAATCGTCGCGGACTCTCCCCGTCACCCTGTCGCCTACCTAGTCCATCTCGAGCGAATCCCGTTGGCGCGCCTTCCCTGCAAACAGACTTTGGACCGGCCGTTACACACTGCTTGATAGCTGCATTGGCCCTGCAACCACGAGGTCGGCGGCGTGCTTCCAACGGCACAATCTAGACTTCCTCAGATTCAAGCCTCCAAACTCTGTGTGTGTTTCTCCGTCTTTGTCTTGAGCCAGGGCCGCCTCCATCTCGACCGGTTGGTTGGCTTGCTGTCTCAAGGTGAGGCCGTTAGGCTCTCGTCGTAGGTGGCATGCATCCAGCTCCTTCTGGCCGGGCCTGGGAGCTGAAGACGACAATTGGTATATGGCACAGGATAGGCCAGCAAAGTTCCTTCTCGAAGCGTCTGGCTGCAGTAGTCTTGCTCTTTTCCCGAATCCTGAGGCAAGTCTGTCCGCGAGGCTTTGTGGGAGACTGTGATGCAAGCGCAGAGCCTTTGGTGGAAGTTGTTGACGCTTGCAACAAGGGCACTTACACGCATTCCCACGCCGCTCGATGGGCTAGCATGCACATGCACATGGCAAGAGTGTGTGTAGTGACATTGCTCACCAGATCTCCAGCCTTATTCGAAAGCTTTCATGAAACAGATTGTAGATAAGGGTGGGTAAAGAGCCTCTCCTCCCCCTCCACGATGTCGGCAACACATGGTGGCTTTCAGCGTGGCTGGTGATAGCTTCACAGCACAACTGCGGGGGCGGCCGCCTCCGACCAATCGATGTGGCGGGATACACTCGTGGAAGCCATGCTGCTCACCCAGCCTCGCCTGACTGGGACAAGCCCCTGGCTGCCACCACCAGCAAGCTTGTCGCCATCAGCGGCTCCCCAACAGCCACGGGATTTTCTTCGGCCAGACACGCACGGATCGAGGCGGATGACAGCATGCCGTCGGGGCTCTGGCGCCGGAACCGCGGTCGACGGCACGTGTCCTGGCTTGACTGAGCTCGAGCTTGAGCTGTCCAGGAGACTCCACCAACCAGCCCTTCCTCGCCGGACTCCGGCCGTCAGGGACCGCGTATGACTGGGTCTGTCAGGGTGCATACTCGTAGTATTGTGCTCCCGCAAAGGGGTCTGCGTCGCCGTCTGGTCTGGGATATCGCGTTTGCCTCCTGTCCATCCCACACAAGCTGAGCTTCCCATCGGGCTCGGAGCCAGAATTCTCACCAGCTTTACCCTTGCAGCTTCCCGGCGGCGGCTCAATCCCTCGAACCCCCACCCCTCTGACTTAGCTGCTCATGAGTGAGCACGTCGTCGTCGCCTTTGCAGCTCTGACCGCACTAAAACTTCGGCAGTTGTGTTTTTTCAACATCGTGTGGGGCCTCGTCCCTCGACATGTGGTATTCCGTGTTATCCCCTCCCCCGAAGCTGATGCTGTTGCTTGTCCGCCATCTCGGCTATATGCTTCGAAATGGCATATGATACGCGAGTGTCGAATAGTTTCTCCGTCAAATTATCTCTTGGGATCGAGTTTGCGAGTCTGGATCGGCAACTGAGTGGTTGCCAATCCCTGAGCTGTTACAAGGCACGAGCAGGTATTTCTCGAAGATATGGGCAAAGTCAAAGTCGGACAGTGCTGACTGCCTGGTTCTCCTTTTCTTGGCACGGAGCTACCATTCGAGCCATTGCCTCCATATGCGCTCTTCATCCACCTCAGATTCGGGCATGTGTCCGTCATCGCTGGCTTGGACGGCTGTACTATCCATAGAGTCGATCTCGGATGGTGATGGCGCCGATGATGGTGAGTTTGATGCTGATTCGCAACCACGATCTCTGGGGGGATTTACAAGCTCTGTTGGAATTCGTCCTCTAACGTGGCTTGTCGAGTTGTGAAACTGTCTGAGACGAGATGCTCGACTTCTGCAAGGAGACGACATTGTCGGGTGGCTACTTGACGAAGAGGAGCCTGTCAGACCTTCGTCGACGAGATGAGACGAGTGATTCACATCTATCGACTGCATTCTATTCCTCGGGCGTTCTGGCGCTGTGCTCTGCGTCTGAAGGCGTTCGGCATGAGCCGGACTTTCAGTGAGATTCCTCGACTTGCTCCATCGGTAGTCTTGGCTGCCCACTCGTATTCTGACGGACCTGGGTGAAGGGGTGGCCTGCCTCAGCTTTCTCTTTCGGTTGTCTCTCTGTCTGCCGCCTTCCGATGGCTTGCGATGGTCTAAATCCACCCCAAGTTGCTTTTGCTGCTCGGAGGTATGCCTGAAATTGGTTGAAAACCCCCGTTCTCTTCCGAGCTGCAAGACTGGACGTCTCGGCATTTCGGTTCCGGAAGAATCGATTCTCTTCAGAAGTCCCTGGAATCCCGCTCTTGGGTCAGAAGTACCTACAGAGCGGTACCTTGCTGCCTGATCCGACAGTGGCGGTCTTTCGTTGCCTCCTAATGGAAAAGCTATTGGCAGTTTGGTGACATCCCTTGACTGAATTTTCGGCCGGTCTTCCAGGCTGGTCAGCACCTCAGGAGCAGCTGGTACAGGTTTGCCGCCCAGCACTGATGAAGGACTGGCTCCAGCTCTGCGTAGGCTTGCGGTAGGTCTCTTTGCTGGGGACACGTAATTAGGTACAAAATCAGCCGCGGAGAGAGTGACGGGAGGCTGGGCTTTGTCCTGCTCACGCAGTCGAGAGCGTGCCTTGGCGAAGTATTCTTTCTGGCGAGCCATTTCCTCTTTCCAGCCCTTTCCGCGGCGGTGTCGAGAGAGGTTGCCCCCCATCCAGTTCATGTTGGGGGTGTATCATGGACAGAGAAGAGCACTGAATCTTGTCCAAGTGAAGAGGAGAGGATGCTGATGATGGTCACTGGATGAGATGGGAAAAAGAGATGAGGAGCATCAGAAGTCGATGAGTGAATTGGACAAACATCAAACTGCTTGGAACCTAAGGAGGAACGACCCTGAAGCATGAACTCGCATCACGTCATGTGCTGGTTGAGGCATCAAGAGGGTAGGAGCAAGCCTTGGTATCCATGGTTGGAAGCTGTCGAGAACTTACCAGAGGCTCGAGGCATCTGTCAGTTCTGCTGTGAACGGTCAGTTGCATCTTCGATGAAAAAAGGAAAAAAAGAGGATGAGAAGAAGGACTTCAAACTCATGAGAAAATATCGGAAATTTCAAAAACCTTGACCAAGGTAGAGGATCGGATGATATTTGACATTAGGTAGTAGGTAGGTACTTGTATGTGGGCAGTCCGGAGAGCAGTGACTTCCTCTCCCTTGATGCACAACACAGTATGCGACGGCACCGTGCGTAGTCGGCACTGTATAGGCTTCCAAACACTGGCCACCTATGACGAAGGTCCCGCCAGGAACAAGGGCAGCAGAACCTCGCATCGTCAACCGCCGAGGGAGCATCAACACGACTGATACATAGCCGCTGCCTTTGCTTTCTCCCGCATCAACAATGGCGGACGCAGCAGAATTGGAGCGCCAGAAGCAGGAGAAGATTGCGGCCGCCAAGAAGCGCGTAAGGATCCCACCTTGTTCCCCAAGCTGTTATACAAACTAGAGCCCTTGCATCAGTCGGCCCATCAAGGTGTATGCGCGTCTAACACGGGCTTCTCCAGGTCGAGCAATTGAAGAAGAAGAAGAAGAAGGGAGCAAAGTCGGAGACCAAAGCCGAAACTGAGGCGTCCGCTCCCGACGCGACAGAAGAGACCCCGGAGCAGCCCCAGCCGAGTGAGGCGGATGTCAAGGACGATGTACCTGCCGAAGATGACAAGCCTGCCGAGGAGAAACCCGCCGAGGGCAACACAGCTGGCGAGGAACCCAAGGCAGAAGACAAGGCAGGAGAAGAGGCAGAAGACAAGGCTGTCGAGTCGCCACCATCCGAGACGCCATCCCTTGCGCAACAATCAAAGCTCAGATCCACGTCGTTCCGCGCCGGCTCGAATGCAGGCCCGGGACCAATGTCCCCTGGGCCATTCAGCCCCGAGGGTGGCGACACGGCTGCCGACATTTACAGAAAGCACGTGGCTAGGATAGAAGAGCTGGAGAAGGAGAACAAGCGCCTCACCAAGGACGCATCCGACTCGGAGAAGAGGTGGAAGAAGGCAGAGGAAGAGCTGGCCGACTTGCGCGAATCTGACACCAAGGGCGGCAAGGATGACCAAACAGAGAAGCTGGTATGTGCTGGGAAGGGGGAGCCGGATCCTCCCTACGCCGTTCACCTGTGCCAAGAAGTCCTTACACTAACGTCGTCACAGAAGGACGAGATTGCGTCTCTACAGCGTCAAAACTCTCAACTACAACAGCAAGTATCCCGAAACTCTGGACATGCTCATCGTCAGTCGGTGTCAATAAGCGCCTCTCCTCCGTCGCTCCAAGCTGAGCTCGACGCCAAGTCAGCCACCATAGAGTCCATGGAGATTGAGATCTCCAAGCTCAAGGCACGTGTGGAACGCCAGGAAAGCGGCGCGTCCTCGGAGAAGGAACAGATTGCCGCGCTGGAAGACAAGGTGGCGCGCGCCGAGGCCGCAGCCGGCAAGGCTCAGCGTGAACTGCAAGACGTGAAGAAGGATCTAGAGCGCACGACGGAGAAGGCGGTCCGCGAAGGCAGCGAGCGCACCAGCGCAGAGACCAAGGCGAGGACGCTAGAACGCGAGCTGGAGGAGACGAAGAAGGCAAAGGAAGAGCTAGAGAAGAAGGTCGAGGCGCTGGAAAAGAAGGTGACGGCATTGACTACGCTTCACAAGGAGCAGGACGCACGGTCGCAAGGTCTGAGGAAGGACAAGGAAAAGGCAGAGAGTGAGGTGCAGGAGCTGCGATCCAAGGTTGAGAAGCTAGAGAGCGAAAACGCCAAGCTTGCCAGTCGTAAGTCGACAGACGGCGGCGGCGGTCTCGACGATGAGGGCGTGGATGAGCTGGAGGACGAGGGCAGGCGCAAGCTGGAACAGAGGATTCGCAGCCTCGAGGCGGAGATTCACGAGCTTCGCAGCGGCGCGTGGATCGAGAGACGGCGCGAGATGGAAGCCACTAGTCCCGGCTTCGACGACGTGGATCTCTCGGGCAACAACCACCCTCCTGCACGCAAAAGGGGATCTACAGCTGGGGGCATTGGCGAGTTCATTGCGCATGGCCTGAACGCCCTCGCCGGAGGAGGCGATGATGACTTGCTGGACGATGACGATGTGGAATTCGATGAAGAAGCGTTCCGGAAAGCACACGAAGAAGAGTCCAAGAGGCGGATAGAGAGGATCAAGGAGATTAAGCGGTCGCTGAAGCACTGGGAGGGATGGAGGCTGGACATTGTGGATGTGCGAAGAGGCGGAGGGCAGGGCATTGGGGATATATTTGATATTTGAGCAGTCTAGAGATGGGAACATACGCGAATGAAGTCGATACTCTCTCCGAGGATTACAGATGAATCAACAATTACCTGCCCCCCCTCGGAAGATGGATGCAGCCATTGAGATATACGCAGTAAAGGCCGTGTCATCAAGGGGGCAGCTACTCATTCGCCATGTCCTGTGACATCATCGGCCACGCGCGTGAGACGGGGGTTCACATCAAGCCATGCACATGTAAGCGGGGGAGCGGAACGGAAAAAGCTTCCTTTGACTTTCTCTTTCTCTCACTCACCTTCGACCTCGTCACTCATTGTCACCACTCTCACCAACAATGGCACCAGGCCCAAAGACGTTCTTCATCACCGGAGCCGGGCGGGGCATCGGCCGCGGCCTGTCCCGGATCCTGCTGCAGTCGGGCCACCGCGTCTTCCTCATCGACAGCAACAAGACGGAGCTGGAGCACACGGCGAGCGTCCTCGGGAAGTCCCACCGGCGCGGGCGGGACTTTGACGCCGCGCTGTGCGACGTGCGGCTGCCGCAGGAGGTCCGGGAGGCGGTGCGGCAGGCGGACGGGCTGTTCGGGAGCCGGCTGGACTGCCTGGTGAACAATGCGGCGTACACGGGCGGCGTGGGCGGGACATCGCTGGCGGACATGACGCTGGACGAGTGGAACCGCAGCGTCGAGACGAACCTGACGGGGCCGATGCTGGTGACGCAGGCGTGCCTGGGGATGCTGCGGGCGGCGCGGGGCTGCGTGGTGCACATGTCGTCGACGCGGGCGGTCATGAGCGAGCCGGACAACGAGGCCTACTCGGCGACCAAGGCCGGCCTGCTGGGGCTGGCGCAGAGCATGGCGGTGTCGCTGGCGAGGGACGGGGTGCGGGTGAGCGCGGTGCTGCCGGGCTGGATTCACGTGCTGGACGAGTGTCGCGAGGCGGACGAGAAAGGGAGGCGGTGGGAGGACGGGCTGAGCGAGGAGGACATGCGGTGGCAGCTGACGGGGAGGGTGGGCAAGGTGGACGACGTGGCGAGGGCGGTGGTGTATCTGGCGGAGAACGAGGGCGTCACGGGGGTGGAGATGGTTGTTGATGGGGGGGTTACGAGGAAGATGGTGTATCCCGAGTGAGAAGCAATGTTTATACTATCGATGGATGAGACGGGGGAGGTTGGGGGAGAAGGGTTGATGTTGATGTGCTGGGTCGGTCTTGGAGGGAGAAGGGAGAGAGGAGAGAAGCGAGATGCCAGGTCGAGCCGAGGCAGATGACCGACGGCCTTGAAGGTTGATTCCAGGAAACAAACACATGGTTTGGTCGAGATGCCGCAGAGGAGGCTCCCCCCATGCCCTTGCAGTGAGTGACTGCGGAAGTGACGGAGAGTGCGGAGAAGGAGGAGAAGCGAGCAAGGAAAGTGTTGCATCGCTGCATCTCCAATTTCTGGACTCATTGATGCGTTCCTCCTCTCCTCATTCGACGAACCCCGCACGAAGTTTGTCTTAGGAGCTTCTGTTTACAGCAGTTGGATACTATATTATATTCATGGTTGCGCGGCTGAGTCCGGGTAAAGGGATGCTAACGTGATGCTGTAATACTACTCGTACAACGACGGATAGCACGTACCAACGAGAGATATGTGATGATGCGTGGGATGAGAAAGTGGTGAGGTTGGAGTGGAGGGATGTAGTCTTGTGTCTGCGAGTTCAACCACCTCACATATCTAGGTACTTATCTTCGCACTCGACTTACATGATTACTGCCCTTTTCGACGTCTACTACGAGCAGCAGTAATACCGCATCAAGCTTGGCACTCCATGACTGAGTAACGAGAGCAGCTCCTACATCGGCGTCGATCAAGTTGATACGATACATACAGCTTGGAGCCATGCAGCTTGCTGGCCTGGGCTGGAAGCCAAGTAATAAAATCTCGTCGAGTTAGTAATATCCGGGTCCTTGCAGTGGATCGAGTTGCTCCAACTGTGTGGGGGGGTCTCAAGGTCATGCCTGTCACTCGTATAAGTTGGATGCTACCAAAGAGAGAGTGTGTGTGAGAGGCAAGAGAGAGACCAGAACACTCACTCACTGAGCAGAGCTGTATATGACACAGTGAGGTTCAGAAGGTTCACAATGCAATTGATAGAGGCAAATGAAGTAACTGGAATTGATAAGGTATGTAGAAGACTGCCAGCGTCAATTGGACGTGTCTAATATAATAAGGAAAGGGCATTGATGGGTCCTGCCGCTCCGTTGTTCGGCGCCGTGATGCTATCGATACCGACTAGATTGATAACAACTGACGATTGCCTCTCTCTCTCTCTCTCTCTTTTTTTTTCCCCCTTCTACTGATGTCAGGTACATCATCTCCCCTCTTTATTCCCGACCTCATCCTTGTGCCATATTCCCCAGACATATAAAACCCCCCCGTCTCTTCCCTCGTCTCTTCTTGCTCAAGATCAACCCTGAAAAAATCCCCTCAGCGTTGCATCCAGTCGATCTCCGGTCGGGTCCCCGCGCGTTCTCCGATCCGCCTTCACCCCACCATCCACCTTGTCCGCAGAGGCGCATCCGCATCGCATCGGCTCTGTGTCTGCTTGTTCGCGCTTCGCGGAATTGTCGAGCTTCAGACAGCGATTTGGGTCTGTTCTTGATCTTCACGCAGTTGCGAGACGGAATCAGGCCAAAGAGACGCCAGAACGGACTTGCACGAATCGTGAATAGAGTCAGAAGAGAGGACAGCTTCTAGCCAGAGACGTCCCTCTCCACCGGCTATTCCACCCTCCCGCTATCGGCTCCAGTCAAACGGACAGCTTTCCCAGCTTCTACTCTCTACTCGACCACGACTTCTTCTTCTACTTCTTCTTCTTCTTCTACTCCTACCACTACACCAACCCCAAATCGTCCCGCAACGTCCTCCCACAGCCAAAATCGCCCATCATGAGTCCTGCTCCTCGCCTCCTCGCCTCCCTCTCGCGCCGCGCCGCGCTCCGGCCCCTCCAGCCTCTCCGGCCCTCGTCCTTCGGCGCCGTCCAGACGCTCTCCGTCGCCGCCATGGCCGCCCGCAACATGGCCACCGCCGCGGGCAAGATCAAGGTCAAGAACCCCGTCGTCGAGCTGGACGGCGACGAGATGACGCGCATCATCTGGAAGAGCATCAAGGAGCGCTTCATCTTCCCCTACCTCGACATCGACCTCAAGTACTACGACCTGGGCCTCGAGTACCGCGACCAGACCAACGACCAGGTCACGCTCGACGCCGCCGAGGCCATCAAGAAGTACTCTGTCGGCGTCAAGTGCGCCACCATCACCCCTGACGAGGCCCGTGTCAAGGAGTTTAACCTCAAGCAGAGTAAGCCCTACCGTCTCTGATGCTGCGAAACCTTTTTCTGACCTGTTCCCCTGCAGTGTGGCTCTCTCCCAACGGCACCATCCGCAACGCCCTCGGCGGCACCGTCTTCCGCGAGCCCATTGTCATCCCTCGCATCCCGCGCCTCGTCCCCGGCTGGAAGCAGCCCATCATCATCGGCCGCCACGCCTTTGGCGACCAGTACCGCGCCAAGGACCGCGTGCTGCCCGGCCCGGGCAAGCTGAGCATGGTCTTCACGCCCGAGGGCGGCAAGCCCGAGGAGATTGAAGTCTTCCAGTTCAAGCAGGGCGGCGGCGTGGCCCAGACGCAGTACAACACGGACGAGTCCATCACCGGCTTCGCCCACGCCTCGTTCAAGCTGGCCCTCGACAAGAAGCTGCCGCTGTACATGAGCACCAAGAACACCATCCTCAAGAAGTACGACGGCCGCTTCAAGGACATTTTCCAGGAGCTCTACGACACCCAGTACAAGGCCCAGTTTGAGGCCAAGGGCATCTGGTACGAGCACCGCCTGATTGACGACATGGTTGCCCAGATGATCAAGAGCACCGGCGGCTACATTATGGCTCTCAAGAGTAAGAGATCCCCCCCTTCTTCTCCTTCCAATTTTTCGCTTCTGCATATATATTCGGCGGGCTTGATTCAACGACTGACTTGGCTACATAGACTACGACGGCGACGTCCAGTCCGACATTGTCGCCCAGGGCTTCGGCTCCCTGGGCCTCATGACCTCGGTCCTCATCACCCCCGACGGCAAGACGTTCGAGTCCGAGGCCGCCCACGGCACCGTCACGCGGCACTACCGCGAGCACCAAAAGGGCCGCGAGACGAGCACCAACCCGATCGCCTCCATCTTTGCCTGGACGCGCGGCCTGATCCAGCGCGGCAAGCTCGACGGCACGCCCGAGCTGGTCGAGTTTGCCGAGGCGCTGGAGAAGGCGTGCGTCGACACGGTGGACGCGGACGGCGTCATGACCAAGGACCTCGCGCTGGCGTGCGGCAAGACTGGCAGGGCCGACTATGTTACGACGAATGAGTACCTGGATGCTGTTGAGAAGAGGCTGAAGGCCACGCTGAAGCAATAAAGGGTGCTTGAGCTCAAGATGCAATGACGGAAAGAAAGGGGAAAAAAATAAGAGTGTGGGACATGTTCTCTAGAACAAACTGTCAGAGAACTCATGTAAAAAGAGGGGGGAAGCTTGCCTTTTTTGGTATGGGGGGGAGGGGATTCGCAAAGCCAAAAGTCCTCCATGCACAATCTCCTTCCGAGCTGCATGCTCGAGGATACACAAGCAGGGTGACTTTCTATTCCCACGAACTGAGCACAAGAGACTTTTTTCTCTGGTTGTCTTGACTCAGGGGGGAAAGGGAAGGGTAATATGTGAAGGTTTGTGACGAAGACGCATTTGGCATTTGTATACCACTATGTATTACAGTATTGCTGCTATATATCCTATAGAGTTTGCTCATATACATAGAATCGTCGCTTTTCTTTTTTCAAAGTCACCTTTATCTTATCCATCTATCAAAGATTCGTCCAGGGGTTGAAGGATGATTATTGAAGCGAGCATGGATTGTCCCGCAGAATTTACGGTTTCCGTGATTGTATAACGCATAACCATCTGACTTAAGGCTAGATAGTAGGTGTTATTTCACACGATGAACAAAGATCAAAAGTCCATCAATGTCAATCCTCTTGTCATTTTCTTAGAATTCCGTTGCTAGAGTACATTAACCTACATCTATTATTCCCCCCACCCCCAAAACATCAAACCACCGTAACAAGAAAAGAGAGCGGGCATCACAAAACGATCGCGCATTAATACAAATCTTCTGAAAAGAAAAGAACAAAGAGAGGTCCCCAAAACCCCAATTGGTGTTTTGATTAAGCCGCCATTTTTTTCCATTTTTAACCCCCCCGACCCCTGAGAATGCTCGATGGAAACAAAGGCCTGTTTTTTCCCGTTTGCTTTTTCCCGCGTTACTTGCTCGGCGTTGATCGCAGTTCTCGGCATCTACCTTAGCCAGTCTGCTTGACTGCCCCCCTATCAATGACTTGGCATGAGAGCCCCCGAGGCAGAGGTAAAAACAAATGAAAAAAAAAAATGAAAAATAAGCAATCAAACTTCAACTCTGGCCACAGAAATACGCAAAAAACTCCGAGCCAGCATCGTCGTCCCTCTAGTCATCCTTGCTATTCGCCGCGGCATCCTTCTTGGACTTGCGAGCCGTGGGCGTCGCCTCGACGTCGCTCTTGCGCTTCTTCTTAGACGGCCGGCTCGACGACCCGCGAGGCTTGTATCCGCCGTCGTCCTCCCTCTTGCGCTTGCTGTTGCGGCCCGTCGCGGGCGTCGCCCCAAAGTCGCCGTCGTCGTCCATGCTGGCGTCGCCGTCGCCGCGCTCTGCTGCTGCTGCTGCTGCTGCGGCCGCCGCCGCCGCAACGGCCTTTGCGCTGGGCTTCTTGGCCTTGCTGCCGCCTTTGCTGCCGCCGCCGCCGCCGCCGCTGCGGTCTCCCTTTGCGCTGGGGCGAGACTTGCGCGCGCTGGCGTGGCCGCTGCCTCCGCCGCCGCCCGTGCCTGCTGCCTCGTCGTCGCCGTCGCCATGCGTCTCCCCGTCTTGGAGGAAGATTTTGGGCGCATGCTTCCGCAGCCAATTCGTCACACTAGTAGGATTCTTGGTCTGGGGGTTGGGCGGAGGGCGGGCACTGGGATGGGCCAGCGGCGCCATGGTGGGCAAGGAAGAGTCGGGGTCGATGCTAGAGTCGATGAGGTAGATGTAGTCGTCGATGTCGTCGGCGGAGAGGAAGTGTGCGGGATGGGACTCGCCATCGGGGGCGCCCAGGTCCTCGAGGAACGCCGGATTGGACTTTTTGGCCGAGCCGTACGTCGAATGGGGGATGTCGTTGAGCAGCTGCTCGAGCTTCTTCATGGCTGCTTCTTTGTGCTTGCTGTGGTCGCGGTCGATGGGCAGGCAGAGGGCGCCCTCGTCTGCGGGTGGCTTGAGAGACAGGTCTATCTGTCGGTCGGGGGGGATCTGCGGAGAATTGTTGACCTCGAGGAGAAGGTCCAGCAGTCGGCTGCAGAATGACAAAAAGATTGGTCAATTTCAGGCTTCTTTTTTTTTATCGCGATGATAATGATGGTTAAGCCAGAATGGCGTGTTGTACATACTCATTCTCAATGGCCAGGCGCTTCACCGTGTTGGCGGCCTTGGCCTCCTGCTTGTGCAGCTCCTCGCACACGTGCATCTCATTGTCAAAGGCGATGCGCATCTTGCGGTACTTCTTCTTCCACGACTTGTAGCCCGCCGACTTCCGCTCGGAGCCGCCGTCGGCTTTGGCTGGGGAGTCAGCCATCGCGGCGGCCGGATGGGGGTGGATTGGCAGGATTGAGGAAGCTATCGTGAAGTCGGGGGGTGGCGGCAGCGGAATGCGCGCTTCGAAGCGTGGGAGGTCGAGGGAGTCGGTTGCGCGATCTGGCACGAGGGAGGGAAGAAGTGGTGGGTTGGTGAGAGGGCAGAGAGTACTGCAAGGGCGTGTTGGTGACGATATCGGCGATGCAAGAGCGGAAAGAGAGAAGAGAGATGGATGCGTTTATCGCATTGGCGGGAGGAGGAGGAAGAGGAGGAAGAGGAAGAACAGCGGGTGGAAAGCGAAAAGGACGCAGCAGAGTTATTACGTGGCAGAGGTCGGGAGAGGCTGAAGTAGAGAAAAGGCAAAGGGGCGCCGCGTGGATGTCGTCGAGCTTTTTTTGCTGTGCTTCGGGCTTGACGCGCTGGAGGTTGGCGCTGAGGCTGAGCGTCGTCAGTTAAGGTTCCAGGTCTAGGGCCAGTGCTAGTAATAGCACTCAAAGGGCGCTGCCAGGCGGATTCCACCACTCCAGGTGGCTTACCAACCTATTGAAGGTTTAAAGAGTTCCTCAACCGATACAGGGTAGGTACGTGCATGTTGGACGACAAACAAGGAGGAAAGATGAAGTTGCATTCGTAGAGATTTGTCTCAGTCATTACCTAACCAAAAGTTCACAGATGGAATATTCAGTAAACAGCAGCTGTGTCTTGGAGCCATTTTCATTTCTTTCCTGGTCGGCTCTTCTATTGATACACCATTATGCTCATCGAACCATCCTCCACATGCCGAGTTCAAGTTGTGACGCTCAACTCAACCCATTAGAGCAGAGCCTTCGCTCCTTGGTTCATTCTTGCCTCCCTTGTATCACCATCCACCGGACGCCCTCACTACGATGACACCTCCTTGCCTAGCCTCTCCAGCTCCTCCCGAATAAACTGCCCGGCGTTAATCATCTCCGTGCTGCCATACACCACCCGCTTGCGTGCCCGGTCGCCGCTTGTCCTGCTCACCCACTCGTGCAGGTTCCCGTATTCCTCCATGCTGCCGCCGCCGACGGTAAAGACGATTGCCTCGCTAAAACCTTGCCGTCGCTGTCCGAAGCTGGCAGTCTGGCCAGTCCCCTGAGAGCCTGGCAGCCCGCCCGGTGCGCTCCCCGCGCCCCCTGATCGGATGGCGCTCGGCGGCGGCATGGTGCCTCGCGCGTTGGCAGAGCGAGGGTCAAAGTACAGGTAGTTCTCAGTCTTGGCTATTGCCGAGGACGAGGCCGTCGAGGGCTCCATGATGGACTCGACAATCTTGGTGATTGTGAGATCTCGATCCGCAGGCAAAAAGTTCTTGACTCCGCTGATGAGAGAATCAAAGTTCGATGTCAGGCCAGACGGGACACCCGTTTCTTTGAGGCGGTCCGTCAGGCGAGATGAGATGGATGAGAATCGTCCAAACAGGTCGGACGAGGCCGCCTGCTGGTTGGAGTTGTTGTTGATGGTCGTCAGTTGTGTCATCTTCGTAGTTGCCCTTACCCTGATTCATCGTTAGCAAAGGGACCGTACAATCTATGATGAACAAAAAAAATCTATGTTGCAACTCACTGTCGGATATAAGGCAGTGATGAAACGTCTGCACCCGCCGCTTCAAGGGCCTTCTCGAACGCTTCAAAGTCTGCCCGCCCAACCTCCTGCTCCGTACTTAGGAACCAAATGATAAACAGCCGTAGCTTATCTGTAGGGTCGTTGCCCTTGTTCTCGTCCTTGATGATTTCCAGAATTTGGGCCTTTGTTTGCTTCATGACGTTCTCTTCCGTCTGGAAGTAGTTGTCCAGCTGCCGGTCCTTGATGCCTGATAGTAGCGCCGCCAGGATGTTCATATGCATGTCCAATATGCTCTTGCGCTCCCGCATCTCAGGCAGCAATGTTATGGCGGCCTTGAGGTGCTGCGCGCTCGCACTGGTATCGTTTTGCAAGTCTTCCAAGCTCGACACCCCCGTCGTCTTCGTAATGGCAGCCGTTTCCTCCTTGTACTTGGTGAGCTCTGCATCGATATCCTCCGCTACCTGCGGGAACGGAACTCCGGCATTCTTTATCCAGAAGAAGTCGTTCGCGGTCAAGTCGTAGCCCTTCTTTGATTTGCCCTTGGCGGGGTTGCTCTCGTCAACTGGCGTCTCGATTGTGATGCGGTTGAGTTTAATGGAGAGGACATCGTGAACGAGGGATTGGTACGTCCACGAATGGGACAGCATGGGTATCAAGTCCACGTTGCGGTCGAGGAGGATCAGCACAGGCCGCGAGCTTGGTGTGCCGGCCGACGACCGCGAGGTGGAGAACAGGTTGTCTTTTGAGTTGAGAATATGATCACGCAGTTTGCGATCGAGGCGCACCGCAACCATCTCTGCAGCGGCACCCTTGGGACAGCGGATGATTGGTATGGCGCCTAGAGCGACGACAAGTCAGTACGTGACGGCTTGCAATAGACGAAACCACGGCCGACTTACCCATTGTCACCACGACACTAAAGAGGCCACTGACAATCCTATCCACCACCGCATCCAGTTCAGCATCGCTCGTCTTTGCGCTGTTGAGAGCCCAGTACGTGTGCTCGTTCTGCATCCCCAGGCTGAAGAGATCCGGCTCGGCGACAATAAAGTTCAGGTATTGGTCGTATAGCTGCGCGATCTTGTCTGAAGTTCCTGCCTCGGCGGTTTGTGACGCAAATTCCTCTAGCAAGACTCGAGGGATGGACGACAGGAAGTTGATGTAGGCCGGTGAGTATAGTCCCTTTTGTAGGTCCTCGGTCATAAGCTGTAGGTTTCGCGCATTCGGCTCGAGCAGATAGATGACTGGAACATCGGGTATGGGATATCGCGGCGTGCCAATGTGCCTGCATGGCGCATGTTAGAACTGTGTCGCATCATCATGGACATGAAGCATGTAAGAACCACTAACATGTGCATCGTCACTCCCATAGAGCGTAGATCGCTGACGCGCATGACACTGCTGATGACATCTCTACCGAGGTCGTCAAAGACGAGTACTTTCCAGATCGGATTCCCTTCGGCATCGAGGATGGGGGCGACGGGGGCCAGCAGTCCGTTGGCATGGGCCTCTTCGGTCTCGCTCGACTCGATGGTCTCGTTGAGGTTGAGGATCTTCTTGAGCGAGGCTGTGGGCACGGAAGTCTCAGCATTGGCTTATCGCACACGGCTCATCACGCAAGATTACCTATCTGGCGATCCCGCAGAGAATTTGATTTGGACGCCATGGCCAGAGAAGGCTGCAGGTGTCGGCTGGAGTATCAAGGACGTTGCGTATGTATGAAGTGGTCGGTGGGTGTTGATGCTGGCTGGGGGGTAACACAATGTCGAGGAGTCGCCCGCAGCTTCACAGCCGAATTAGAGCGCAAAGCAATCGCCAGTGTACTTTCGCATGCGATTGCCGAGTCCAGCAAGACAGAAGTCGACAGCGAAAACGGAGAATTGCGCTGGCGGTTGAAGCACAGTCTGAGCTTGAGGCCACGATATCGAGTTGCCCCCCCAATGGAAATGTCCAGCTGCTGTGACACGGAGCTCTCCCACTACGAGCCCGCCCCAGCAGGTCACTCACTCACTGCACCTCAACCTCCCGCTAAACCCACAGGCGGCCAGGCGCTGAAGCTGTGCTCTAGCGAACGCCTGTGTCACGGACCGACTGAATGGCCGGCCATTGGCGGGTGGAGCTATGACATGCCCCCGGTTCCGGTCGCGTTGGTGCCTGACTTCTGGGGCGTCAGCCGGGTTCATACTTGGTACCCGTAGTACTACTACTGCCAAACACGACCTGTTTTTTCTACAGGGCATCGTCAACGCTCCTCCAACATCTCTCTCCCCGTCTCACATCAGGTTGCGACAAGCCGGCATCCCGACGCCATCAACAACCGGGCGTGTCTAGGCCTCGCGCGTCTCGACTGCCCAGCAATCACGCCCCAAGACGCCCGCGACATCAATTTTTTTTTGTTGTTTTCGTCCCCCTTTCCTGCACCGTTGTCTCGCTGCACACGACTCTAGCAGACAGAGAGCTGCGTGTTCGTGTTCGCCTCCGGATAATACTGTAAACAACTCGCTGGGAAAGGGGCCATGAGGTTTTCGTTGCCACAGAGTACAGAGTAGGCTGTGACCAAGGACATTAAATTCTGCTGCCATTGACGCAGCAGCCGCAGGGTATGGCCACCTCCTCACCCAATCCCCTCATCTAGCCCTCCCTTTTCCCCGAAACCTGCCTACCTACTATACCTCTCCGCGTGCGAACCCCCCTTCTCCTGATCCTCAGCCTGTTCTTCTGCCTCTGCCCTGCAAACTTATGGTGTTGGCGCGGCCACGACGTGGGAGTTGCCTCTTCTCTGTATCGCGTGACGGGCCATGATCAATCAGATGCATGGAGCCGCACTCTCTATAATCCTCCTGTTACCATTAAAAATGCGCGACGTTGAGCAAAGCGACTTGCGCGGCCTCGGCCTCTGAATGGTGTTGGACTTGGGCGTCTGCTTCTCTGTAAAGATCAGGGAGCTCCCAGCCGCCCAAGAGGGTGATCAGGCTGAAGCTGAGCTCTCCCCCCAGCGTTCAGCCGTGGCCGCGTCTGCATCTCTCGGCCGCTTTGGCCCAGATGCGAAGGACCGCGACATGTCGGCATGGCGATTAAAAGTACCTGGCCGGCTTGTTGCGCCTTGCTGCAGCCCATCGACCAGTTGCCAAATACGCGTCGCCCAGCTGCTGGGCCGTCGTGGCGGCGAGACTTGGAGGCTTTTGGGGCGGGAGTTGGCCTCAGTGTTGTCGCATCAGGGATCGGGCCAGGCCTGGTTGATCCGCAAGCCATCCAGCAGCAACTCCAGCCGACAACTCTCTAAAGAATTCATCAAGACAAGAAGAAAAAAAAAGAAAAGCCACGAATACAAGAGGGAAAGGCCAGGGACAAAGCACCTCTTGTCGAAGACTACCAACCATTGCTTTTCTTCGATATGACACAGCTGTTCCTTTTTTCCGTCCCTAATCCGGCTGGTCTGGTCCTTGTCCGCCATGAGGCAGCGCACATGTTTTATGTTTGCTCGCCGATCTCTGGCCTTAGCGAATGGCGCTCCACCGTCTGGCCGGTCCTGTCCTGTACCAAGGACTGACAGCCTCCCATCCTCCATGATGCTCACAATCTACGCATTGGCTGATGCCTCTGCACCGCTCAACAACTTCGTGCCAGCAGCAGCAAACAGCATCTTTTTCTCTCTCTCAATTCTTTCTCACTTTGTTCTTCGTTGTGCGCTCACAGCCGCCTTCATCTCATCTCACAATTTCCTTCACCCCTTTGGCTTATCAATGCTAACCCGCCCTCTTTTCTTCCTCTGCAGAATCTGTCTTTAGGGAACATCTTTGAATCTGTCGCCCTACCGCCCCTTGTCCATGCAAGCTTGCCCTGTTCCGTACTAGCGCCCTGCGCCGACCTCTGCCGACAATCTGCCGTCCGACACCGAGTGGCTTGCCGCAAGTACTGCCGCACCTCAGCTCTCTGTGTGAGTACCTCGTCCTCTGCCTGCACCGCCTCACCCAGTCGCCCTGCAGCACTTGTGCATGAACGCCACAGCCACAGCCTGAACCCACGCGACAACTCGCAACTCGCGTTTCCTGCATCGACGTCACAACCACGGACCAGAGATTCCCTTTGTTTTGCTTGCGGGTGTCTGGGAACAAACAAACAAATGACGTCTTCGGTTGCTGATGGATTGTCGATAGCTCTAGTATCAGATACCCGCCCGCTCACCCTGGTTTTCTATGATTTGCGTGTGCTGCTGCCTGTACCACCACTTACCAGCTTGAGGTGGCCAAGATGCAGTCGTGGTCTGGTTCCGGCCAAAACGGTGCGACTGACGGGCACAACTCGTGGCAGTCGGGCTTCCCATATCCCAACCAAGGCAACCAATTCGATCCCAGCCAGGCGTGGCCACAGCCGGCAGCCGACCAGGCCTCCTACTCGCACCTGAACCAGCCCGATCCATCAGCGTCCGGCTTCTTCGAGGCGCCTCACCAGGGAAATGCCTTCCTCGCCGGGGGCCTTCACTCGGCGGCTCCCAGCCAAACCCCGTTCCATGCTGGCCATGGCGCTCTTTCGTTGAATCAGCAGTTCTCGCAGGCGAGCCCCGATGTGATGGACCCTGCCTTTAGTAATATCCACCCCGAGTTATACGGACACCAGTCAAAGGTCAACCTGGGTGGCGATGGAATCGGCCATATGGGACAGGTCCAGGGCCATCCGCATGCCTCCTCGCAAGCATTCACGCAGCATGAGTTCCAGTTCGCCCCCCAGAACGAGCAGCTCTACGATGCCACAGTCCAATACAGCGGCCAGCCACAGCAGGTGTCCCAGCCAACCCGTCAAGGAAGCCACACTCCCGTCCAGCAGTTTGATAACTTGCATGGAAGCTTTTCCCAGGGCCACCGCTTCGGGCAGCCCGGCCAGCCAGCGCCGGTTCAACACCAACAGCAGCAATCGTATCGCCAGGGACAGGCCTTTTCGCCAGCAGTCGGTGGACAGGCCGACCAATACCAGCTAAATAGCAGCATTGCCTATCAGCAGCAGCCAAATCCGCAGTACAATACCCAGCAGCAGGGATACGCACCACAACAGGCCAATAATACCTACACTACACCCCCTCAGGGCACGCCAGCACAGCAGACACAAGCTCTTCAGCACCCTCCTGCGCCCTCCTCCAACCAACAAGTGATGCCAACGTCCCATAATGCTGCTTCTGCTGCCCAGTATGCAGCAGCCCAGCCGCAGATCAACACCAGCATCGCCCCTGCTACTGCCCCCCTTACCGCCGCGCAGCCGGCGACAGAACCGACAAAGAAGAGGAAGCGCATGACCAAGAGTGTTCCGGAGCCCGTCGTTCAGGAGCAACCGACGTATCCGATAGACCTACCTGTTGAGACCATTCCGAGGAGAGACGATGAATCCGAAGCCCTCGCCGTTCCCGTGCCCACACCGGAGGAAGCGCAGCTTATCGCCCAGTTTGCGAAGCGGAGCAAGGCTGCGCAGATCAAGTATCCTACCATCAGGGGACTTCCGCATCTCGTGTTTGATGGCACCATCAAGCTTCCAGCACCCAAGAGTTACGACAAGTTGTCACCTTGCATTGCACTGCCGCCGCGCAACGATCGTCCCGCGGTCCCCGAGTTGGGGTATCTGCCTTGTGAGATCCAGGGCAGGTTCAGCGCCCAGTACCGGCCGTCTGCGGACAAGGGTGGCTTGGACGAGCGACGAGAGGAGGCAAGCCAACTTTTGGACGAATATGACCGCTCTATGCAGGCCCTGGGCAAACGAAGACCTAAATACACCGAGTATCCACGTATGTCGGAAAGGTCTAATCTGTGTATGAACGTTGGAGATGCTAATATTTCACAGATGCATTCAAGGAGCAGCTCAAGTCCGATGAAGCGTCGAAGAACAAGGCAGAAAAGAGGGCCAAGAAAGAGCAGGAGGATGACCGAGCGAAGCCGGTGAGTGCCTGTGTTATGCCATGGTTGAAGACCTTGATGACCGCTGACACCCCTTTTGTAGATCCGCTCGCCTGTTCGCCCAGCCGATCCTACCGAAGCTGCCGCCTGGGATGCCATCGGCATCGTCCATATCGAAGCTTCTGTTCCTCGTACGAATGCTCTCATCGCCGGGAGAGTCCAGCAGGCTGGTGAATTCTTCATCAAGCTCCGCAACGAGATGAACAAGGCGAAACTGGACGTCGACAATGCCATCAAAAACAAGGTTTCCGATGCCGAGCTTGCAGAGTTGAAGAAGGAAGCAGAGCAGAAGAAGGAGGCCTTCTATCGGGCCCTCGACGTCACCCTCGAGCATGCCGACGATGGCGTCCTGGACAACCTTGGTGGCCACCAGAAGTTGGTTCTGTCTCTTGTCAACGCCATGATCGCGTCTATCAAGGCCGGCGATTTCTCTGGAAAGCTGCCCAAGGCGCTGTTGGAACTCTTCACGCACTTTCGTATGACGAAGAAGATTGCCGAGACACCCAACTTTGAAACGGTACGAAAGAGGTTCGAGGACAAGGGAGACGACGACGTCAAGGAGATGGCTCGCGAGATTGCTGCCAACATGAAGAAAGTCATCAAGGCTGATTCGGATACCTCGACGGGCTATACTGGAACATCTGCAGCCAGCAGAGCGAAAGCTGGCATCAAGCCATCGGCAGATGTAACGTCTGCCAAGCGAAGCCGAGATGACGACACGGACTCCCGGACAGTGAAGAAGATTGCGGTAGAGCCCGGCAACAGCTCGCTGAGCAAGAAGCTGGCACAGCCAAAGGCTCATCCGCCAGCCGCATCGAAGATCATTGCTCCCAAAGCAGCTGCTTCGTCTCTCCTCCCTGGCAAGGCACGGCCTGTGCCGAAGCCAGCGGTCAAGTCAGAAGCGGACAGCCCATCGGGTTCCGGCGATGACAAGGGCAAGGTGGATGCGAAGAAGCCAGCAACCAAGACAGAACCTGGCAAAGTGGTTGCCACCAAGGTTGAGGCAAAACCTCACGTATCAAAAACAGCCGCGACGCAAAGCGCGAGCGCCTTGTCGGGTATCGCTTCTCTACTCGACTCGATCAACGCGCCCAAAGCGCCCGAGGCTCTTGTCACGGTGACAAGAGAGACGAGAGAGTCCAGCACTCCAGAGGATCCAGAAGAAAAGGCCAAGAGGCTTCGTAAGGAGGCTCGCAGGAAGCTGAGGGTCAGCTGGAAATCGGATGAGGAGCTTGTACAGGTCAGGGTCTTCCACAAGGACGACGAGGAAGATGAGGGCAGAGAGGGCAACATGATCCGAGACGCAGCCGATGACCGCTCCGAAGGCATGGTCCTCAAGCAGCGTGCCAATGTCGACGAAGATGAGGACGATGATGACATTCCTTACCAGCCTTGGCTGGGGCCCGTTGCGACGGACTTTACGGTGCTCCCCGACGACGTACGGAGCAGGAGCTTTGTTACGCGTGGCGGCACGGTGACCTTTACAACCGATGAGCAGCAGCGAATTGCGGAGAGGGAGCAGAGAGAGCTGATGGCCATCTACACCGACGTCAACGATATCCCGGCAACGCCCAAGTCTCCCCTGCCAGAGGCGGCAACGCCAAATCACGAGGCCAAGACGGCCTATCTACCCCGTGAACACCCTCAATTCGAAGAGATCCAGTTGAGATGGCGAGATGAGCAGCAGTATGGCCCGGATGAGGCGCTGCGCTCCGCTTTGAAGCGGCTCGATGCCAGAAACAGTCCCTCGAGTAAGCTTGACACTATTCTCGGCCGGCTTCAGGGAGGTGCCTCTGCATCGACATCCTCACCCCAGCATGTACCCCTGGTGCCGAGCCGGCAGGCGCAGCTTCAACTGCCGCTGCTTTTGGGACCCTCAGTGGAGGCACTCGTTCTCGCACTTCTTCAGTCGGACAAGGTCAAGGCTTGGCGAGATGCGAACCCAGTATCCTACGGGGAAACGGTGCGCCCCTACAACTACACGGATCCCACGGTACGACTGAATGCAAACGCCATCGAAGAGGTCGCGCGGATGTTGATTGGGAAGCCGTTTCCCGCCACCTCTCCGCCAGAATGGCTCTCGTTTGATCAAGAGAGAATTCGGGAATGGTGGTTTGGATACAACAAGGAGGTTGCGGCCAGGCAGAAGAAGGAGGAGGAGGCACGGGCGCGAGCAGAGGCCGAAGCAAACGCTCTCAAGATTGCTGCTGCTACTGCCGCCGCCACCTCCAACTCCAGCCTCCCTCAAGACTGGGCGGCGCAATACGCCCAGCATCAGAGCTATGCTCCGTACATGGCGCTGTTGCAACAGATGACGGGCGGCCAGCACCAGGCCATCCCCCAGCTACCTTCGGCAGCCCCAGCAGCGTCCCAGATCCCCGACGGTCAGCTGCAGTCGATTCTCGCCGCCATCAACCAGCCTCAGCAGGCTGCTGCTGCCATGCAGGCCGCGAACCTCACCAGCTACCTCAACCCGAACGATCCCTCGTATCAGCAGCTCATGATGCTCACCCAAATGGCACAAGGCCAGCAGCCGCCGCCTCCTCCACCGCCGCCTCCATCATACGATCATAGAGGCGAGCGCGGCGATCGAGGCGACCGAGACCGCGGCGAACGGGGTGACCGAGGTGATCGCGACTGGGATCGAAACGACAATCCTAGAGGTGACCACAAGGAGGGCAGGAAGAAGAAGGGCACATTGCCGCCCCACAAGCCTGCGAACAAGGCTCTGATAGGGACCAAACCATGTACCTTTTGGCAGCAGGGCAAATGTGCTCGAGGTGATAAGTGCACCTTTCGACACGGCTAACACTCTGGGGCCCTTCTCCTTCTTCTTTTATTTCTTTGTTTCTACTGAGGGTTTACGCGTACGCATAGAGAAGCAAAACAACTTTCGCGACAAGGGGCGTGAAAAAACGCCGTATGATGGGCAGCGGGATGCTGGAAAACAGGACTGGCGTTGAAATGTTTCAAAGCGGCGGATAGTATTCGAAGGGTTTCGACAGTCTGGCAAACAGATGAGCGCCATCTGCATGCCTGTATACTAGGTAGATATGAAGTCTTTTTTTCTTTTTTTCTCGCTTCTAATTTCTTTCCATCTGCCGGGTCGAACAATTCTTTTGTGGAACGACAGGTAGTTAAATTTATACCAGTGCCTACATATAACTATATTCATGGGCACACAACTTTTTCCATGAGTTACACCTCGAATCACGACATTGCTCAAGTATTGGTGAATCATTTTTTTACAAATGATGATGAGAACTGTAAAAGCCAAGATAAAACATATCCCATCTCCCTTACTCGGCGGCCTCCATCTCAGTATCCGCTCCCCCCGCGGCCTCGGGCCTCTTGATGAGGCCCCTGAGGCTCAGGTCGTAGACGACGTCCTCGACCCTCTTGATGTCGTACTTTACGCCGTCGGCGCGCTTGCGGATGATGTCGTTTTTGAGGTTGAGCAGCTGGAAGCCGGCGAAGAGGTCCTTGACGAAGGCGCTGATGGTGAGGGGCAGCTGGAAGTCGCCGAGGGTGACTGCGTTTGTGGCGAGGCGGGCGAGGTCCGAGGTGAGGTCGGCGAGGGAGAGGAGGTATTCTTCTATGGTGAGGTGGAAGGCGTCGCGGGATTTGAGGTTTGTGGGGACTTTTTTGAGTGAGTCGTGTCAGTTATATATATATATATATTCCCCTTTTGACTCTGAGAGGCTGTTCATGTGCGTGAAGGGGTTGTGTGTGAGTGATATGAGGAGTATAAAGGATTTACCGGAGAAGATGGCGCCGACTTCTTCGAGGGTGAGGAGGCGGCCTATTTCAGCTTCCTTGGACGTGGATGACGAGGGTGCCTCAGCAGAGGCATCTTCTGCTTCGGGGGCTTTGGGCGGGAAGCCGCCTAGCCAGGCGCAGTAGATTGCTGTGCCGATGGCGTGCTGGACGGAGCGCGACCATTTGTGGTTGTATCTGTAGCATAAGGTCAGTATGAGATGCTTGATGCTGTGGGAGAGTGAGAGAGAGAGAGAGAGAGAGAGAGAGAGAGAGAGAGAGACGATACTTGTAATATGGGTGCTGTGAGGCGACTTTGTCGAGCTCGCCGATGATGGCCGCTTCATCTTTAACGGCGGACTCGACTTGGGCTACGAGTTGAGGGTCTGGTTGTATAGAAGAGATGAGCATGAGATTCTTTGGGGGGGAGAGGAGTGTTTGTTGTGTGTAACCGAGCTGGCAGAATCTCGGCTGATAAGAGACAGAAGGGCAGAAGGCAGGATTAGGATTCCCTTACAGCGTGCGCGAGGCGTCGAGTGCACGCGGGAGAGCAGGCCCTGGGCCGTGGCGACGGAGCGGTCGAGGCGCTGGACGAGCTGCGAGATGGCGTCGCGGATCTGCGTCTCTTCCTCGAGCTTGGCCTCGAGGGAGGCGAAGATGGAGGGGTCGAGGAGCGTTGGCGGCGGCGGCGGGGCGGACATGGTTGATGAGGCTGGCTGGCTGGTTGCTGGAAGTGGGTGGTGATGAGAATTTCTGTGAGGAGTTTTTTGGAGTTTGGGGATGAGAGAGTCTTGCTGGATTTGGGAGAGGGTCGACGTGGCAGCAGATTTTTTTCTTTTTTATTCTTTTCTGGGGTGATTTGTAGGAGAACCTGGATGGAATGGATGGGACTTGGAGATGGAAAGGACGTCGTTGAGGCGGCAGCAGATGGCTGATGGCAGAGGTTTATTACGGGTTGGGACAAGGCTGCATACAATACGTCAAGAGGCTACGTCAAGAGCGTTGCATCCAGACTCTACGCGCATCAGACACAAAATGCACTTTTACGCAGAATCATCACGACCGCAAGGCTCTCAAATAATACGAACATTTCCATTCTTCCTACAATGACGAGTCTCTTCTTCACCACCAGGGCAAGCCCCAGCGAGCAATGAAAAGAGAAGAGGTCGCGTCACCTGGAGGCAGTGTAATACCAGGGACACTGTGGGAGGAATCATGCGCAAGCACAGAGGAAACCTCCCGAGGGCCAAAAATAAGAATAATCACGATTGGTCTCCTTAGAGACCTTTCAGAGATTAAACTGAAAAGAACAGATACTACACTTGATCTAAGCCAAAAGGCAAAGAGAGCTAAAGAAGAAAAGAAGAAAAAAGATTCTAAAAATGCGCGCGGGCGACGACGAGTTTTATAGACGCGGCTGGGCGGTGAGTGTTGGGTGGATGGGCAGTGGGGCGGCAGAATTGAGGGGGGTTAAGCTGGTGGGTATTGGGTGAGTCTGAGGGTGGGCAAGTGATGGCTGCCTGAGGAACTACTACTACTAGGTACCTAGGTACTATAGTAGATGGGAGAGGCAAGAGTGCATTTGGAGGGCTACCCTGTTGCTGGAAGGGGAGTCATGAGATGACAATGATTTATTGTATGTTGAATCATAGAGAGGGGGATTGTCATCGAATGTTGGTTTGAACAGCTGCAAGGTGATAGAGCTGGGAAAACAAGTCGTTACTAGGGAGGTAGCTACCTAGTAGGTAGGTGGCGCATAGGTACCTAGTAGCTAGCATAACGACAAGTGGCTTGCAACATACAAAGAGCTCGTTGGATAGGTACTGAAGGCTTCAACATCCAACTGAATGACAGCAGCATCCCATATGCCTCTTGAAGGCGGAATCACTTGTGCTCAGACGCCCAGGGCCAAGGCGCTGCTGAGCGAATTCGCTCCGTAATCTCGAGAGAATGAATCTGCTACCTACCTGGTATCCCTGGAGATGGGCCGAGTCTGCTCCCTTGTGTAACCAGCACACGAGCAAACACAATGGCCGTCGGAAATGACTCTCCCACTCCAGCCGCAAACCGAGCTCTCGAGTCTCGACCAGGTGACAGCTGGATCTGTAACAGTAACAGCAGCAGCAGCATTCAGCCGTGGACGTGTGAAGGTGGGATCTGGCTCCATGCAGGCGTCTTGTGGCCAGCATTGACGACCCTCGACTCCCTCTCTCTTCCAGAAAAGATTGCCATTTCCCCATAACAATCTCCTCACAGTAGCATCTTCCAGCCTTTCTCATGTCTCGGGCACCCCGAAGCCTCCAGCTCATCTCCAGACAGCTGAACGGATACCCGCATTCCCTCCCACAGAGGCGTCAAACCACCAGACTCCTTTATTGGATCCTTTCTGCAAGGCACCGGGGCTTTTCTGGCCTCACCCACATCAGCAAACAGACACATCTGCAGAAGTCAGAGAAAAATTCCCGAATATTCGCCTCATCTCGACGCGGGAGAGTGCAGAAGGGAGCCTCGATGCAAGGGGGGAAACAATGACATACGCTAGTATTGTTCTCGAAGACACTCCTCACCATGTGGCCAGGCTGGGATAATACCAAGCCTTGCAGACGCCGAAAGAGGTGTGTTCTCAGATGAGATGATCCTTCTCGGGAAAAGCTGTGAACTGAGCATATCGAGATAGATGTAACACAGCCTCAAGTTTACAGAATACTTAAAACGCCCTCGATACCGTTCAAAATTCCTTCCCACTGCTGCATCACTCCTCCAAAACGCCAGCCTCCAGCCTCTCCTCGAACGACATCTTGCTGCAAACGCTCAGTATGAGGGCCTGCCTGCTCTTCCTGGGCATCACCGCCCTGGCCACAGCAATCCCAGCTTTGAAACCACCCCATGGGAGTCCAGACAGAGCCCACACAACCCAGCTTGCCAAAGTCTCCATCGCCCTGCAGCCCGAGTGTCGAGAGCTCCTCGAGCAAGCCCTCCACCACCTCTCCGACCCCTCAAGCCCACGGTACGGCCGTTACCTTGGCCGCGAAGAAGCCAAAGCTCTGCTCCGCCCTCGACGAGAGGCCACGGCCGCCGTCAAGAGATGGCTGGCCAGGGCTGGTGTTCCTGCTCATGATGTTTTGACTGATGGGCAGTTCATCCACGTGCGGACGCTTGCGGAGAAGGCTCAGGCTCTGCTTGGATTCGAGTACAACTCGACGCTGGGTTCGCAGACAATCGCAATCTCTACCCTTCCAGGAAAGATACGGAAGCATGTCATGACCGTTCAGTATGTTCCGGTGCAGCAACCACCGCCAGGCAATGCGGACAAGTCAAACACCTCTTCTATAGACTTGGACTCAGAACAAGGGTCCCTCGACCAGCTTTGGACGGAAGCAGACTGGGAGGAATGCAAGACGATAATCACGCCTAGCTGCCTGAAAAGGCTGTATCACGTCGACAGTTACCGCGCAAAGTATGAGAGCAGCAGTCTTTTTGGCATCGTGGGCTTCAGCGGGGTACGTTCCTGTAACTCATCCCCTTTTCTCTGCTGTGACTGACGTAGAATGCAGCAAGCGGCTCAGCACGACGAACTGGACAAGTTTCTCCACGATTTTGCGCCCTACTCTACCAACGCAAACTTCTCCATCGAGTCTGTCAATGGAGGGCAGAGTCCCCAGGGGATGAACGAGCCGGCAAGCGAGGCCAACGGAGATGTCCAGTACGCCGTTGCCATGGGCTATCATGTTCCTGTTCGGTATTACGCAGTCGGTGGCGAGAACCATGACATTATCCCAGACCTGGAGTGAGTTGTTCGATTTCCAAAACGTGAGCTGCCATGAACAATCAAAGTGCTGATCTGAAGCAAAATCACACAGCCTGGTTGATACAACAGAGGAGTATCTTGAGCCGTTTCTCGAATTCGCCAGCCATCTCCTCGACCTCGACGACGATGAGCTCCCAAGGGTAGTCTCCATCTCGTACGGCGCCAACGAGCAGCTCTTCCCCCGATCCTACGCCCATCAAGTCTGCGACATGTTTGGCCAGCTCGGCGCCCGCGGCGTCTCCATCGTCGTGGCCGCTGGCGACCTGGGCCCCGGCGTATCATGCCAATCAAACGACGGCTCAGCAAGGCCAAAGTTCATCCCCTCGTTTCCCGCGACGTGCCCCTACGTGACGAGCGTGGGGTCGACGCGCGGCATCATGCCCGAGGTGGCGGCGAGCTTTTCGTCGGGCGGCTTCTCGGATTATTTTGCTCGTCCGGCGTGGCAGGATAGAGCGGTGGGCGCGTACCTCGGGGCGCATGGCGAGGAGTGGGAGGGCTTTTATAATCCTGCTGGGAGAGGGTTTCCTGATGTTGCTGCTCAGGGGGTGAATTTTCGGTTTAGAGCCCATGGGAATGAGAGCTTGAGTTCCGGGACGAGGTATGTTGGTTCTTGTTTTTTGATCTAGGGAGGGGCTCTGTGACTGACAGGACGTTGACTGATAGCCTCTCCTCGCCGGTGTTTGCCGCTCTCATTGCTCTGCTCAACGACCATCGATCTAAGAGCGGCATGCCGCCCATGGGATTCCTGAATCCTTGGATCTACACCGTCGGCAGTCACGCCTTCACAGAGTACGTTCAAACTCCCTTTCAAAGCAACCATTCAGTATGGCTAACCTTGCATGATAGCATCATCGAGGCCAGGTCGGAGGGATGCCCAGGACAGAGCGTCGAATATCTCGCATCGCCCTATATCCCCAACGCGGGCTGGAGCGCCGTGCCTGGATGGGATCCGGTGACGGGTTGGGGCACGCCGCTGTTTGACAGGATGCTGAATCTGTCTTTGGTGTAGGAGGTGATGATGGGTGATAAGCTTGGGTTTTGGAGAAGACTCTCCAAGAGAGTATCGTAACTGAGTATGCTCATAGAACTGGAATAGCAATATTATCTAGCGATTTCGTTATTGAGGGCTATATTACGCTGTTAAGATTTGATACTACGTTCAGTGTAGACGCTTCACCCGTCGAGAGACGCTGAAATCGCTGTGAAGACGGGCTTATCGTGGCTTAGCATGATGGTGAGAATTGATACTATATTCATCCAGTGTAGACGCTTCGCCCGTCGGGAGACGTTAAATATGCTGTGAAGCATGCAGCAAGGTTTACAATGCCCCACTATAACTTTATCACTCGTACCCTAAGACTGTAGTAAATCAAGCGTCCAAGAGTTGCAGTTGGTTTGCCGTGGCATCTAGTTGAATTTGCCTTCTAAGAGGTATAGCCTTGCAGGACAATGCCTGCCCGTCTAGATATACAAGCCTCCCCTCTAATTTCCTCTAGAATAAAGACAACGAGGAAAGGAACCAACAAAATCCATCATCGCTCGCACGCTGAGTCCATGAATCAAGCCCCGTGTCGTCTCTAGAATCAACACGCCCCGTTTTTTCGTCTAACGCAGAGTAAAAGAAGAAGTGGTATCTCATGTTCCTTCTAAATGAAGGAACGAAATAGCGTAGGAAAAGAGAAAAGCAATGCCGAATTACTCCTGGCCACTTTCTTCTTCTCTTGTTCTTCCCCCCCCTTCTTCTCTCGTCTTTCTCGTTCCTGTATTCGTTCGTGCCCCCGTCTCTTCCCAAAACTTTTTATGTATCCCCAAACGCCGCGCCAGAAAGTGAAGAAAACAAGAATGATAGAGAAAAAAAAAGTATGCCGCCGCCGTAATGGTGTCCCGAACAAAGAAGAAAGGTGTGGATATAAACACAAGGGTTCGTTCGTCATAGTGGAGATGGTTTTTGTGTTTTGTGTCGTTGAGTGGTTGTAGAGTGAAGAAGAGGCGCGCTGCCTCAAAAGAGCAGGAGAGAGACAGACTGTCGATGGGTCATCATGATTTCGTTCAAGACATCAAGACGACACTCTGCTGCTGCAGCTTCTGCTTCTCCTCGGCAAAGACGATCCGGCTCATCTCGAGGACGCGCTCAAAGCCCTCGCGGCCCTTGACGGCGTTCTCCTTGAAGCGCGTGCACAGCGTGTCCTCGATGCTGTTCTTGATGCGCTGCCAGCCGCCGCACAGCGCCGTGATGCGGGCGCTCTGCAAAAACTGCGTCTGGCGGTCGCTCAGCGGGCGGTAGACGACCTCCTCCTGGACGCGCACCAGGTTGCTCCACGTCAGGTTCTGGCTGACCATTGTCACCGTCTTGCTGCGCGGGTCGACGTAGCTGGCCTCGTAGACGAAGCTCTCCTCCATGTTGCCGCCCAGCAGCGACTTGATCCATTCGGGCGCCGCCTGCTTGCATGTGATGAGGCGCTCGGTGCGGAGGACGCCCGTGTCCGGGTCGACGCGGCGCGAGAGGGTGTCGACGGCGATGACGTGCTCCGACTTGTTGTTCCATGGGCCGTACTTGCGCCAGTTGGCCGTGGAGACTTCGTCCCACGAGTAGTCGTAGGTGACTGAGTTGGAAAAGACCTTCATGTCTCTTTTATTTTGTTTCTGTCTGTTGTTGTGTTGTTTTGTTGTTCTTTAGTTGTTGTAGTGGATGTATCTCTAGTATGAGATGATGTCGTATCAACGATCGAAGTGGTGGAGAGGTTCAAGAAGAAAAAAAAAACGAATGGATTCGTTGTTGATCAGAAGAAGGTAAAGAGGATTTCGCGGCGAAAAAAAAGGGTTGACGGTTGGTTATATCGACAAGGCTCCGATTCGGGTGGCGGGTCAGAAGGCGAATCAAATCCAATCAATTTCGTCAATGTTATCAGGCTAGGGCAAACGATCAGCCCCGTCGCGTGCGAGGCTTCAAGGACGTCCGATCAAAGGGGAGGGTGGGTGCCTCCAATCCGGAATGTTTCTAAAAACGGAATAGAAAGAGGAAGAGAAGGAGAGAAAAACTCGCCGTCTATGATGTAAAGAAGGGGTGTGTATGTATGTGCCTTGGTCCTGAATCCGATCAAGGAAGGGGAAAAGAGAAGAACAAGGAATCCGGGGTTTGGGGGAGATCTCGTGCAATGTTATATAATGGAGATATCGGGGGAAGCGAAATAGGATAAGGAAAAAAAAATACTCTCTAGTCAGCCATGCGCTTTTTTTTTTCTCGAGGAGCTTAGAATTGCGGCATGTGAAGAGGAGCCTCTTTCGGCATCGGAGCGAGCGACTTCGCCGGAAAGAGATTTTTTTTGCTGGCTGGCTGGCTCTCTCACTTTGTTTTTTCGCTTGTAAGGCATGGACTTAGTAAGACCAGCTATCGATAGGCTATCCCCTATACGGAAGCCACTTGCCACGCATCGGGTTAGACCGCGTCGCATGGAGCGAGAAATCTTCGGGGACGGTGGAAACCGGAGGCGCATCTGATTGGTTCATCGGCGGTGCGGGAATCGGCAAGAAGTCGACTTTCACAATGGGTGACTGGAGAAGGAGCAGGTACGGAGTGAGTTTCGGAGGGGTGGAAGGAGGGGGGGAAAGGAGGGGGAAAGACTGCAGTGGGCAGCCACGGCCCGGCAGTCCAAGGTTTTCTCGGCTCGGTTCAATCAGCTTCAAGTTGTTGCATCACAGACGCTTCGGCTTGGAAACGGGCAGAAAGGAGGATCGTGGCGAGGGCACATCGGCTGGGCCGCAACAAGGCGGTGGCGAGGGCGGTGACGGTGTGACGATCCCCGTCATCGAGCATCTCTCATTGGGCAATACCAGTAAGTATTTGGATGGGGGAGGAGATGCTGTTTTCTTCTTTGTTTGCTGGTCTTTTTGGGAGGGGGGGTTTCGATTCCGGATCCCGGGGAAGGCCGTTTCCAGATCGATCTAGAATCCAGACTACCGTTACTTCCCGTCGTTCTCCTCGTGAGGAGGTTGGCTTCTCCGCTTGCACGTTCGGCGCTTCAACTACGGTCCGTGAGATGAAGTGAACAAGTGAGGCTGATAGCACGGGCTGCAGACAACTACTACCTAGGTACTACTAGTAGGTACCATATACCTCGAGAAGAGGTGCTATCATATCGTGATATCTTACATCGCTCTCAGATGCCGTGTGCTTTTACTTTTACTACCTGAATTTTGACCTGTAGCTGGAGGTACCTAGACAAACATGGTAAATACTCTGCCATATATTCCTACATACTTCTCAACAGCAGCAGCACTCTGCAGTGCCACCGCAGGCACTTATCTCTATCCACTTGAGCTGACCATCAAGAATGTCGTATTCCAGAAATCCATCTTGACTCTAGTAGTCGTCTCCGCGGCTGATGACCTCCTTCACGGTGGGTCGGATAAGTATAGTCTGCAGTCGGTGCATTAGCATGTGAACGTTCTCTCATTGGGGGTGTCGTGTGCCTTCTCCTGCATGTTGTTCAAGCAGAAAAAGACGGGGACGAGACTTACGTGCTCATACTGAGCGGTGTACGAGCCCTTCTTATCACACAAGGGCGGGTACGCCTCGACAATGTCGTTCTGCACCAGGCTGTTGAGCTGTACCAGAAACACACGTCAGCACCACCAACATCAGCAATATAAAAAGGGGGGAGGAAGAAAGGGGGGGGACACCACGTACACCCAACAGGTACTTTTCCTGGCCAAGGCGGTCCAGATACCGCCGGCAGAACGGCAGGGTTCCAAAGTTCTTGTTAATGACGTTGAGCAGCGCCTTGGCCGAGCTCAGGCGCAGATCGACGTGCTGGACGTCGCCGACCTTTGCGTAGTGCGAGACCTCGCCGTCGTCGCGCACGTAGCCGTTACCCGTGCTGCCAAATGTCTCAATGGCAAACACGTCGCCCTCCTCCATCTTGGTCTGGTCGTTGCTCTTGACAATGGGCACCGCCTTGGTGCCGTGGATGCTGTAGGGCAGGATGGTGTGCCCCGTCAGGTTGCGGATGCTCTTGACCGGGTACGTGGTGCCGTCAATCTCGACCTCGAAGCTCTCCATGACCTCCTGGATAACGCCGCCAATCTCGCCGACGCGCGCGTCGATGCCGGCCTCGCGCACGCCGGCGTTGGTGGCCTCGCGCACGGCCTGCAGCAGGTTGTCGTACTTGGGCTCAAAGGCGACGGTGAAGGCCGAGTCGACAATCTTGCCGTTGACGTGGACGCCAAAGTCGACCTTCATGACGTCGTTTTGCTGCAGCACCATCTTGTTGCCCGCGTTGGGCGTGTAGTGGGCGGCGCAGTGGTTCAGGCTGAGGCCGCACGGGAAGCCCATGCCGGCGATGTGGGCGTCGCCCTCCTCGAGGCCCGGGTGGCCCGTCAGCGCGCGCACGCTGTCCTCAATCGTCTCGGCAATCTCCGTCAGCGTCTGGCCGGGCCTGATGACCTTTTGCGCGTACTGCCGCACCTGGCGGTGCACCTCGGCGGCCTCGCGGTAGTCGGCCAGGAAGTCGCTGTTGAGGTTGTCCAGGTGGCGCTTCTCCTCGCTGGTGGTGCGGTACCGGTTCTCGTCCTTGTACTCGACCTCCTCGCCCTTGGGATACGTCTTGTTGGGGAACAGCTGGCTGACCATTACGCGGGGCGGCTCCGTCTGGCTCGTCGGCGCCTTCTTCTTCTTCTTGGGCTTTCTCTTCTTCTTCTTCTTGGCGGCGCCGGTGGCAGAGGGTTCTTCCGCCTCGTCCTCGGAGTCGTCGCCTTCGTGGGCGTCTTCGGCAGGGCCGTTGGCCGAGTTCCCAGCCTGGCCCGCCGGCTGGGCACCTTCGGCCACTATTATGGCAGAGAGTCAGTAAAGTTTGCTGGATGTTGTTATTATCTGTAGAGCTGCAGCTCCTCACCTTTCAGCTCCTTGAGAGCCTCAGTGGGGACTTGCGCTGCCATCTTGGCCAAACTTGCGTCGAATGTCGTGTGTGAGGTTTCAAGCGATCAAATTTTGGCAGAGGGGCTCTGCAAGCGTCGAAACCCCGCCACGGGTGCTGACAAAATTGGGTGCACCAATTGGAGCGTCACCGTCACGGCTAAATTGTGTGGCACGTTGGTGTGCCTATTATGTCGTGCCTCGGCTGGATGACATCAATGCTTGCCGCACTGGCCGTCAGGAAGCATGACTTACATATTCAGTATACTACATACATACAGCCCGTTCTCTTGGTTTACTTGAAATATTCGTCGTGTTGTTGCCTGTACATATGCTGAGATCAGTATAGAACCTCAACTCTGTGTTGTTCTGCGATCAATCGCAGACACAGTCACAAATCCCGCCAACGTATGTTCCCGTCATGGTGTCTTACCTCTCGCTTTCAAGACAATCAAGCCTGCTTCATTGGCAGCCTGACAGCCTCCAAAATATGCAATCTACTGACGACAATATAGGCCGATCCCCATAATGCCATAAACTGCTGCAACTCATCCTGCACCAGCTCGCACTTTTCCAAGCCTTTCCGCCAGTGGAGAGACGTGGGGGTCCCTCCTCGTCACTCGCCAGGCACCGGGAACAGCAACCAGCGGGGCGCCTGATCTCATCGCCGTCTCCAGCCCATAAGGCAGCAGCTTTAGCCATCAAAAAACGAGAAGCTGTGGGAAGAAGATTGAAAGCTCTCACAACACTAGGACATACATACAGACCAGTATGGAGCCGCAGGTACAGAGACTGGTCGACAAGGTCTGGAAGAAATTCCAGGAAACACCTCAAGACCGCCGTTTGTGTAAGTCGGCAAACCTCTAACATTACGCGCTCCCCGGCGTCTACACCACCACAGCCATTGCGCTCTTGATGGAAACCCCATTTGAATATCTCTCAAGGCATTCAATCAATTGCTAACCTTTCACCAACCAGTAATTGGAATAGCCGGCATCCCAGGCTCAGGCAAGCCCCTTCTTCTTCTTACCTCACACCATCATCACTCCAAACTAACACAACCCCCAAGGCAAAACAACCCTCGCCCAGACCCTCACAAACAGCCTCAACTCCCTCTCCCGCCAAACATCCCCCTCCTCACCACCCCCCGCGTCCTTCATCCCCATGGACGGCTTCCACCTCACCCGCGCCGCCCTCTCCGCCATGCCCGACCCGGCCACTGCCCACGCCCGCCGCGGCGCCCCTTTTACCTTTGACGCCCCGAAATTCCTCTCCCTCGTGCAGTCCCTCCGCGAACCAATCTCCGACTCTTCTTCTTCTTCTCACCCAGGCACGATATACGCGCCGTCGTTTGATCACGCTGTCAAGGACCCCAAGGAGAACGACATTGCGGTCCTGCCGACGCATAGGATCGTTGTCCTGGAGGGGAATTACCTCGCGCTGGATAGGGACGTGTGGAGGGATGCCGCGGCCTTGTTGGATGAGCTGTGGTTTGTCGAGGTGGACTTTGAGGTGGCGCGGAAGAGGTTGAGGGAGAGGCATGTCCGCGCGGGCATTGTGAATAGCCTGGAGGAGGGCGATAGGAGGGCTATGGAGAATGATCTCGTGAATGGGAGGGAGATTGTCGATTTCAGGTTGCCGGTGCACGAGGTGATTCAGAGCAGAGAGGATGGAAGCTGGGTGCACGAATAGATCGTTGCCATGTCATTAGACCAAGAGCCAGACTTCTTTGATGACCTAATCAAAAGAAGAAGAAGAAAAAACTTGATAGATATGAGATATACCCAGCGAATAAGTCGCCCTTAGTTCATCATGTCGAACAAGTGACGAATTGGCAGAAAAGAGACACAATGTGTGTGTGTGTGTGTCCATGTAATCAGCAAAGAGCAGGGAACCCCAACATGCTACCCAAAGCAACACCATGCATGCAAACCGGCAGAATCACACAAGAATGCTTCCAAAACACTTTTTCAGCTCTCCCAGTCACCACCGGCTCATGGCTCGTGAGACTGCTCAACACTGGCGCGAGCCGCCTGGCTGAGCCTCTTCATCTCGGGCGCCATCGTCGCCCCCGTGCCCTTTCTCTCCCTCCTCATCTCCTCCCACTTCTTGTCGTCCATGACAGCAGGCTTCTCAATGATGCCATCCAGTCCCAGGATCTCAAGCAACTCGGGCATCTCCGCGTGATCCCTCGTCGTCTTCATCCTGTGGCACCACGTGATCCTCTTCTCCTCCGCACGCTCCCCCTCCTCCTCGACCTTGCCCTTGCCGGCCTCGGGCTGCTCCAACGTGCCGAACTGGGGATGCTGCTCTTCCCGCGGCGTGGACAGCGGCGTCGAGATGTGGAGCGGCTCGAAGAGGAACTCGCCGCCGACCTGGCGATGGTCGCCCGACTTGAGGGCCAGGCCCTTGGGCACCTGCCGGAGGCCCTGGACGATGCTGTCGAAGATGCCCTTTGACGTGCTCTTCTTGGCGTACGCCGGCTTGGCCCCCATCGTGAGCGTCTTGACCATGCCGAGGGCGTCGAAGAGCTGGCGGGTGGGGTCCGTGTATATGGGGAACGGGCAGCCCGTCTCCTTGGCGTACATGTCGATGAGCTTGGGGTCGCCGCATCCGACGACGGTGATAAAGGTGCTGATGGGGAGGCGGAGGAGGGAATCGGGGGTGATGACCTCGGACAAGGTGCGGAGGTATTCCTGGCAGTTCTGAAGGGAGGTGAAACCAACGTTAGCTATGAGATTTCATTCTTTGGCCACTAGGAATGTTCGCAACAAAAGAGCAAGGGGGGAGGGGAGGGGGGCATTTGATAACTCACGCCGCAGAAAAAGTGCCGGATAAAGATGACGAGCACCCGCCTGGCCACGTTGGGCCCCATGTACAAGCTCTTGAACGTCCTCGACTTGCCGTCCTTGTCCAGCACAATGTAGTCCTCAATCATCTTCTGGACCTCGGCCGACGGCAGCTCGTTGTTGGTCTGCAGCTCGCCGTCAAAGTCCTGCGGCCGCGTCTTGTCGATCTCGAGAGAAGGCGGCTTGGAGCGCCGGTGGGACGACACCCTGTCCGAGCGGGCTCCGTGAGCGGCCTCATCGGCGTGGTGGCCGTGGGAAGCAGCAGCAGCGCCGGTGCTGTGGCGGTTACTGCTGTTGCTGTTGCTGTTGCTGATGCTGTTCCCGTTGGGGTTGGAGTTGGAGTTGGAGTTGCTGGTGTGCTGCTCGTCGAGGATGCCCGTAAACGTGTGCGGCGGGGCGCTGACGTCCATCTGCGCGTCCGCCATCTGGGACAGCTTGTAGGTAGGTAGGTAAGGTAATAGGAGTGATGATCTGCGTGGATGGGGTATCTATCAGGGTAGTAGGTAAGGTAGTATGTGATAGGTATTATCTCGCAGTGAGAATAACACCAAGAAAGCAGTAATACTCGTAGCAGTCAAGATGAAAGCAGCCCGAGAATGAATTGTCAAAAGCGATGCAATAGATGTAACAATGAGAAAATCAGGGCAGCCGCCGATGATGTTATAGCATCACCCCCCAAGCAAGCCGAAATCCCAGGGGCGCCCCCGGAGCTCCATCTGGCGCTAACAAAACCACAATGGCCGTCCCGGGCCAAGTTCCTCCGTCCCTTTGGCAGCGACAAAGCCTCTCTCTCAGCCCGACTGCGCCACGGAAGACGAATGACATGTACATGTACTTTTGCCCTTCTGAGTACTTCCATTTGCCCCCCTTGGCGCAGCATAGCAAGAGGCACATGCAGATGCAACAACTGACTGCTGATTCTGGAAAAAAAAAATGACAGATTTTCCCAGCGAATTACGGGTGGTCAACTCACAGGCGAGACGTCGTTGCTTCTCCTTGGAGTTTTGCTGGCGCTGAATGATTGGAGACAACCGGGAGCCAATCCGGCGGCAGCACGCCACAGGTCCAGGGGACTTGGTTGCTGGCAGAGGCGTCCAATGGCATCGCTCGGCTCGGTGAAGTACGCGTGGCTGACAAAGTCCGCCCTGCGTATTACTAGGTACCTGTACTCTGTACCTGCGTGCTGTCCGCGCCCATGTCTCTTGCAGTTCGATTCAGACCCTGTTCCGTTCCAGTTAACCGCCATAGTGGCTCTGCTAGCTCTCAGACCCATGGATGTTTTACTTCACTTCTCCCATCTCATCACACCCGCTCACCCTGCACATCAAATACTAGTACAGACAAACAATCTTCGCATCTAAGCCCCAAACAGAGTTGCATCGCTTGCTCACCTCACCCCAATCTCTCGTACCTGCTTTGAACAAGCATCATCATCATCATCTTCTACTTCTTCTCCACCGCGGCTGTGCTCGTACGCAGGTACGTTTCCTCTCCAAGATTTTCCCTTCGTTTCAAGTCATGTAGGTACCTCGAGTAATCCCACATGCCTGCATCTTCGCCTCCATCTCAATCCCGAAACTCCGCAGCAGGAGAAGAGCACAAGCTTACATACTGTTCACCCATCCATTGGTGAAACAGTATAACCGTCCATCAGTCAAGCTTCATCATCCCATCGACCCATCAGCCTCCACACAACATCGCCGTTCTCGAGCCCACCATCGCCATGTCCGACGGCGAAAACGACCTCTTCAACATCCAAGTCTCCGACTCAGAAGAAGACAAGGTTGAGAAGAAATCCAAGCGAACCGGCCAGTCAGAAGACGACTTCCAGGCGGTGAAAAGCACCTACCGTGCAAAGGTGGAAAACGGCAATGTAAGTCCCCATGACAACTCTTGCCCTCATTCTTGACAGTCCTCTGAAACCTTGGCCATCTAGATACACGAGACAATCAGCCTCCCACTGGCACCTGATGCAAACAAACAGCATGTCCAGGAAGTCATCCACGCGGCGGAGGAGCTCTACTTCTTCCGGCGCTATCGGGATGTCATCGATCTCGTTTCAAGGGTCCTGGCCCTTGAGGGCGACAAAGGTGGCTTGGACGACGAATCCAAGCAGCTGCTCTCCATGTATCAGTCAAGATGTAGGCAAAAATTGAAACAAACCGATTGAAACAACCGTCATCTCTACACAGCCACCCCCGCAAGACTGTCTGTCTTTCACACACATATTGCAATCTTAGCCGCGTCTGCAAATCAATCTCGTAATGTCCTACACAGCCCGTTTCTCGGGCCTATTCTTACATAGATGGCCGTATCTTCAGCTCGATGGACCTTTTCCAAACCACCTTGTCAGATGGTCTAAGCCTTGCTCCAAGACAGATTGGCAGCTCATCTCGCTGCTTCCCTCAGAATTTCCTCGCACATGTCTCTCACTATAAGCCATCGATTTAACCATATCCCCAGGGGGTTTCCTCAATCCGCGCCCTGTGCATGTTAGCATCCCAAGAAGCTGGTAAAGTCGCCTGGCTCGATAGACTAGTTCGCCCATCGAGAGGAGCTCAGTCCTTGGGGCTTGGGCTTTTGACCGTTCGTAGTCGGCACCGTAACGCTGGGAGGGGGACCTGCTGGCTTCGGCTTCGGCTCAGCCGCAGCTGCTGCGGTTGGGCTCGACCATCCTATAGAAGCAAGATCAGTAAGTAGCTCAAGGTTCTCGGATGCTGCAGGATGTCATACCGTCTGTAGTCGCCCACCGAGACATAGCAAGTCCGCCGTTGGCCGTGGTGCCAGACTTTGGGATTCCATTTGCTGCCTTCGGCGCAGGAATTGTGAGTTCGACTGTCGTTTTTGAGCCAGAGTTGGAGGGCTTGACTGATACCGGTTGACCGGAGCTAGAGGCTAACTAGGCTCTATGTTCCGCCATACTGGGGACTGTCATCTCGATGGAGGTATCTGTCGTAGGCGGAGAGCTCTTGTGAGCCTTCTTGAGAGCATCTACAGTAGAAGAGGTGCCCTTCTGGATCTCTCGGAGACCTGACGCCTTGATGTTATCCGCGCGTGACACGGCATGGCTCTCCAGCTGCTTGATGTCTGCCGGAGTGTACTTGATGCGCTTGCTGGGCGTCTCGACGATCTCTTGGAGATCCTGCAACGTGGCGCTTGAAATGGGCACAGACTTGCTTTCAGCGTTGCCCCCATGCCTGGACTGTACCTTTCGTTTGATACGGACCAGCAGTCGGAGAAGGTCGACAAGCTCCTCCTTCAGCTCGGCAGACTCCGTTTCAGTCTGCATGAACCCCTGAGCCATCCAATTGGCGATTGCCGTCGACTCAATCACCTCGACGCCTTGCTCGGGCACTTGAACTCCGGTGGCAGTAATCTCGGATAGGATCTGCTGAACAATACGCTGCATGTGATCCGCAGCAGCCTCAATAGTGAGCGATGGCTTGGTATGAGAAGCATCTTCCACGTTAAGAAGGCTGGCTTCGGACTTTGGCTGCAGGGGCGCATCGGTTGCATCCGGCACTTGCACAGCACCACTGGCTTTGCCGTTGGTCATCTTCAGAGCATCTCCTGGTGCCGCCAAGCTTGGTTTGGGAGGAGCTTGGAGAATAGTATCTCGTTGCTTTTGGGCGACAAGGGTCGGGGTAGGCTTAGGAGACACTGATCGGGGCCTGCCAAACCTTTGAGCGGATTCCACAAGACACTTCAGAAGATACTGAAAGCTGTCTGCTGCCGCAGCGGTCCTCAATTTTATCTTGTGCAAACGCTCACCCTTTGCGCTGTAGATGAAGCAGAAAGGTCCCTGGATGGCGGCATTGCCGAGATCCAGGACATTGTACGCCAACTCGGCTTTGCCAGAGGGAATCAGGACCAACGTTCCTTCGTTCTTCTGCACATGCACCTTGGCAATGAACTTTGCAGGAATGGAGGAGTTGTGAGATTCATTGACAATCTCACACTCGCCCTGAGATAGGACGGCCTGCTGGGGAGTCGATGGAATTGGCATTGGCTTGGTGACAGTTTCGACTGGGGGGTGTGTTCCCCCGTTTGAAACCTGAGGGCGTGTACCAACATAGATCACATTGTGAGGCACGACTCTTCGGGTAGAGACAGGTGCCGATGGCTGTACAGGAGGAGCAGTGACACGCGCTGCCGGCTTCATCGACGAGGGAGCCTTGGAAACGGTGGAGGGTTGTGCTTGACTAGCTGCCATCGCAATCCGAGGCGGTGCCCTAGCATATAGAGTAAGTATGGCTTTCAACGACGATAAGTCTACTGCAGTGTTTGCACTTACGATGAAAAAGCATGGCGCGCCATGTACTGGTTGGTAATTTGAGCCCAGGGGCGGCTATCGCCAATCTCTAGGCCCTCCATCTGTAGACTTTCCTCGTCGACAATTTTAACTTTGCATATGTTAGCCCCGGAGATCAAAACAAGGAGCGCTCAGTGTGTACTTACCACTCCATTTGTTCTCGAGTTTGTGCTTCCGAGCCTCTGGGATGTGACTCGTCCCGGAGCCTCTGGGCTGGTAGGTCGGCCTCTTCGCATCGTTGCTCAACGGAAGTTCTTCCTGTCGGCCTCTTCCGAGTTCAGCCTAAGATTGGGCAGGTCAGATCCATCATTACAGGTTGCTTTTCTTGAGGGTAAGTATGTTCTCGTCCAGCCACGGGAGATGAAGAGAGAGACAGATGGGCTAGTCAAGTTTGACTGTCTTCTTCCTACCTTGCAGGCTTCCTTGACCAGGTCGAGATCTGGGTCTGGACCCTGCATCGTGACGATGGAACCTGCCAGGCCCTGGAGGCGATGGCAGGGTCACTGAGTGGCGGAGGCTGTTGAGGAATTGTGCTTGGTGGAAGTCGAGGTTGAGTGCGAGAGTCGTGTAGTGAAGCGTACAGAAGGAGTCGCTGCCGTTGTGAGGCAGTGGACGATCAGTGAAGAAAGAAGAAGAAGAATGAAAACAGAGGGAGAAGAACCAGGAAAGAAGGGGAAGGTCGCCTGGGGACTTGTTTGTTTATCTTCTGGCGGCCGATAAGATATAGCTGAGGCAACCACCTGGCTCTGCTCCTGCTTTAGTGGAGGCAGGCACCAGAGCTCTTGCGTTTACTGGTTGAGCTCCTCATTGGTCGTAAATTTCCAGTACTCTGGCGACCGATAAGGCATTGCGTCTGTTTAACTTGTCCATACATGTAAGGTACCTTACCTTATGTCCCAGTGAGGTGACTGATCGATTCGCCTCTGGTAGAGGATGAGTACTAAGGTACATGTAGGTTGTGGTGACTCGGGTTGAGGAATAGGGGGATGCGGTTCACTTGCATGCAGCGATACGAAATACAAGCAGCTGAGAACTTCCCTGATAGTAAAGGGAAGGACTCTGCCATCAGTACCTAAGCAACAATATAGAAAGGATACACGTTCGATTTAATCGTCGTTCAAGGTGCGGCCAGTCGTTTGAAATGCTACTGCTGCTGCTGCTGCTGCTGCTGCACCCATCCGTTCCTGACTCTGACCACTGGGGACAAGGAGGCAAAGAGACAAACAGATAATAGCACTACATAACTGTCTTTGGTCTGATGTTGAAGAAAAAAAGGTATCAATGTTTGAGGAATGCTACTGACGGAGGGGAAGCGAGATGGATTTGCCCAACGTGTCAGGGCTAAGAAATGCCTATATATCGTGCTTCTTTCATACAGACTGAAGGATCTCACCACTGAAATATACAGTAGACACGTCTACTCTATTCTGAAATGTAGCATGTAATTAATATCATAACAAAGGATGCTCATTCACACAGCTAGGTATATCGGGATATAAGAATAGGAACTTGGTGTGTTTCATAAGCTTAGTCTCTCCTACATAATAAAAGACTTTGCATAGTTCCGCGCACTCCAAGAAAGATTCCAACAGCGTATTGCCTAGGGTTTTTGTATATAAGACTGAATATCATGAGGTTCCATAATGGGGCTGATGTATACCTCCTTTTGTACCTCTTTACTCGAGACAGATCTATTGTCTTCCGCCCGCCTTGGCGACTCGGAACCCAACTGTTGTATAGTAGCATTCTAGATTTTCCCCGGGCCGTCTTTCGCTGACTACGAAGGGTTCTTGGTTGTTGGCTAGCATGATCTACACACCAGGGTGGAATAGGTATCTGGGGCCACTATCGCGGGGATCGGTCGAGCTTGGACCGAGGTTGTGTAAGTGACTGATTGAACTGTCGCGGCTATGCCATGGGAGAGCCAATCACACTGATTGTATTATTGGAATATTTATCTCCTGCAAAGCCAATTTCCGTGCTAAAACCGCTCACCGGCTTGTACTGTACAATCATAAGCTGCAACGCGATAGAGAGCAAGGGATGCGATTGTATTATCGCATCTTGATGGCCAGTCGATGCTACTCCTCACCACCCTACGTAGGTAGTTATACCGAACTTGTGAAGCGTCGTCACTCTTACTTTGTGCGAGTTTGAGACGGGGAATTGCTCGGTATCGGCTGACAGGTCGAGACGTGAGACCGGCCATTGCAAGGCTCATCCATTCTTCGACTCCCGATTCGTACATGTACGTATGTAAGGGTCGTGATCCCCACCTGCAGCTTCATCGGTAGAATAAGTAATGCGGGGGAATCACGAAGATCTCGGAAGAGTCTCAACCACACACCGATTCGAGACTTTGCTATTGGAAGTCCATTCCTGCAGAAAGCTTCAAGCTACTCATAGCTACAAAGGTCAAAGACCATGGCGAGAAAGATCACGACAGTAGAAATCCTGCTGCACAACAAGCTAGACGATGTATGGATTGTCGTCGATGGAGAGGTGTACGACATGACTGAATTCGCACCTGATCATCCTGGAGGAGCGGAGAGTATGTTTCTATCCTGACAAACTTAATGTTTAGTACTCGCTCATGCGTCCAGTTATACACAAGTTTGCCGGAAAGGACGCCACAGAGGAATATGGCCGCGTTCATTCGCCTTCATTGATTAGAGAGACTCTCGGACCAAAAGGCCATGTCGGATCGCTGGATACGTCAACAATAACAGAAGACTGGAGAATAGCCAATCAACCGGCAGACCAATCCGCCTCGGGACCTTCAAAAGAAAAGCCCACTCTGGACGAAATCTTCAACATGGATGACTTTGAAAAGGCGGCACAGTTGACGCTGTCGAGGAAGTCATGGGCATACATCAAGGGCGGCTCCAACGACAATATCACGCGAGATGCCAACAGCTCCATGCTGCGAAAAATCTGGCTGCGCCCAAAGGTCCTTCGCAATGTTGGGAGTGTCACTGCACGGACGAGCTTGTTTGGATGCGACCTCGAGATGCCCGTCTTCATCTCTCCTACCGGCGCTGCGAAAGCGGGCGGCGCCGAGGGCGAGCTGACCTTGGCCCGAGGAGCTGGTGCTGCAGGCATTGTGCATTGTTTCGCAACCCCATCGTCCTACACTCACCTAGAGATCCTGCAGGAGACGAGGCGTCATGCCTTCTTCCAGTTGTACGTCAACAAAGACCGGTCCAAGTCCGAGGCCATTGTCCGCGCGATCGAGGCCACCGGCAAAGTCAAGGCCATTCTGGTGACTGTTGACGTCCCCGTCATTCCCAAGAGAGAAGATGACGAGCGCGTAAAGTCAAACGAACAGCTGCAGATAGCCGGGATCGGATTGAAACCCGAAACTGCAAAGGGAGACAAACGGGGAGCCGGTCTTGCGCGCCAAGTGTCGTCGTTTATCGACCCGACATTTACTTGGGATGACTTGAAATGGCTGCGAAGCATCACTGAGATTCCCATTGTTGTCAAGGGCATTCAATGTGCTGCTGATGCGAATATGGCTGCGAAATTGGGGGCTCAAGGCATCGTCATCAGTAACCACGGCGGTCGAGCTGCTGATACTGCGCCGCCAACCATTCTTGTGCTGTTGGAACTGCAGAAGCAGTGTCCTGAGATATTCGGAAAGCTCGAGGTTCTGATTGACGGAGGCTTTCGGCGAGGATCAGATATCGTCAAGGCGGTTTGCTTGGGTGCATCTGCCGTGGGACTCGGCAGGCCATTTCTCTACTCGTTGGGCTATGGCCAGGAGGGCGTAGAGCGCGCCGCGTGGAGTAGGTTCCCAGCATCTAGATGGATTTATAACGGTCATCATGCTGACGATTTCTGCAGTTCTCAAGGACGAGATCGAGACGGCTATGCGTCTGTGTGGCATGACTGATCTGATGCGGGATGCACATCCCGACTTTGTCAACACGAGCAGCCTTGACTTTATGGTGCCTGGACTGAAGCATCCCTACGCTCGCAAAGTCAACAAGTCACAGGGGTGGCTGAGCTCACTGCGGTCCAAGCTGTAACTCAAGATGAAGTAAGGCTACATGTAGAGTTAGACATATATTGATGTCGGCAAATTTGCGAATGGCAGCCAGCAGCCTCTAGCGGGTCGTCAGAAGGATTCATGGCCTCGGAAATTGTTTACAAACGAATAGCAATTAGATGTCAACCATCACAAGTCTAGAAGGGACAGGGTTGGTGCGGGATATGGATGCATGGCATTCGTTTGTCTCGCCATTAGAAGAGCATTCTGAGAGTTTGCAATCTTTGCTCTTGACTGAATGGATTTGAGAACCAAGATTGCAGCAGGATCAAAACCCTCCATCATTTTACCTGTATTGACTACTCAGGGAAGCCCCCTTCTCCCCCGTCTCTCCCTGAAGAGTTAAGGTATTCAAGAGTCATAACTCTCATCAGCTAGTTTGGCATCCTCAGCAGAAATTCTCTTCAACAAGAGCAACCTTCTTCTCTTCATCAGAAACTTCCTTGGCCGGGTTTCTCAAAAAAGCGGAAGACTGAATAGGGGCATCAGCAATCTGCGTCGCCAACCTCAACGAAGCCTCCAGCATCTTGGCCTCCGCCGTCCGTCCCAACAACATTAGACACTCATGATACCCACGCAAAGCCCAAACGTTATTCGGATGCTGCCGGTATCGCGGCAAAGTGCCCTCAAGACCAAGATCCTCCGCATAAATCTGGGCAGCTTCTTCCACCCGGCCCTGCTCAAGCAACATCGCGCCATAGACATGGCGAGCGGGCAGCATCCAGCCCCACGGCTGGCTATACACCAAGCCATCCTCCTTCTCGATGTTCTGACGCATCCAATCAAATGCTTCTACAAAGTTGCCCTTGCAATACTCACGATATCCACTCAGGAGCGAGATGGAGGTCTGTAGCAGTAAGCGGCTCTTGTGAGGGTAAGTCAGTCGTGCAGAGGGCACCCGAACCAAGGCCTTGACGAACACCATATACCTCTCTATACCCTCGTCCACAGTTCCAAGGGCGGCATCAGCCATGCGTTGCGCCCATCGGATCGTGGCGACGGTGGTGCAGAAGAGACGTCGTTGATCCGGCAGGGCAAGCTGGCTGACTTCGTCCCAGTGGCCGAAGCGGACAAGCACATGGATCCGGAGAGCCCAGCAGAACTCGACCCAGAGTGCCAGGGGAGGTGATTCTAATTCGAGAAGCTCGACAGGTAGAGACTCTTCTAGTCGAGTGCAATAGTCTAGAGCTAGCTGGGATTGTCCGGATAACATGGCTGCGTATATCACGGTGTGATATGGTTTGACGCGATAGTAGACATTCAAGCTCGTATCCTTGCGGCCAGCCTTTTCCACATATTTTGCGTCTGCTTTGATAGCTGTGATATTGGCCGTAATGGCACTTCGGTAGTCTCCAAGCAGGATGTCGATGATGGAGGATACGTGTATGAGATGACCACTATCTGGCACGAGTTTGCGCAGCAGATTGGCCGAGTAAACGGCAACCTCGGGCGTTCGTGACCTTTCCATGAGTCGGATGTGGAATTGAAGCAGGCCTGGATGCTTGCTTGCTCCTTTCTGAGCCAATGCCTTGGAGATAGCTGCATGGACGTCAAGTGTGCGAGCTTCAGGCAAAAATTCGCCGCTGATGGGATCCCACAAGTCTCCAGAAGCAAGGCTCATGAGGGCTTCAGCATAGAAGACGACAACATCGAGATCTTCATTGAATTGTTTGTATACGGCCTCTATGGAGTCGGCATACGCACGATTCCAGTCCGAGTATTCCTCCTCTGCGGCCTCCACAGCATCAAGATCCCATTCTGTGAGGACTTCCACTGTTGGAGCCGAGTGCGGATATCGTGCAACGATGGCGCGGATGAGAGCCTGCTCGACGGGACTGGCGCTTCCCGCGAGCTTCAGCGCAATTCGAGATGCGTTGTAACTGTCTCTGATGCCTACTTTTGCTTCTTCGGGGTCAAATAAGCGCCACGCCTTGTCGTGATAAAGACCGCGAGTGTATGCTAGGCCCCAGTACCCCATGGCGCAGTCGGGGTCTGCTTGGATGACCTTTTCGAAGCAGTTGGATGCCTCTTGGTGGTTGAGGCCATAGGCCCAAATGAGACCTCGGCTGAACCATCGCTGAGCATCAGGGCTTTTGGTTGTGATGGGGCGGTGGTAAGTCCCGAGATTGAAGTAGCCGTCGTCTCCGAGGGCAGCCATCTTATCGTTCATGATGAGCGTTCTTGGCCCTCAAGTTGCCGAAGGATTTGTATCGAGACTGTATACCGACTGATATCGACTGAGGCGACTGTCCTCCTTGTGATTATATATTCCGACTGGTCATACCCCGCCCATCTTAGATCCTGGTCATCCCAGTGTAAGCCAGGCCCCTGCTCACTGGTGTTGTTGATGCTGCGCCTCAAGGGGCAACACTCAGCTCTGACGATTAGGCAGACATCGATGCCCAGGCAATCGCATATCTCCCAGCTAGGCAGCCTTTATACTTAGATGTAAGGTTAGATAAGGTTAGGTTCAAAGTCTACATCTAACGCATGGTTCAGTCAGTCTTGGAGAAGATCTGGCTTCCTGATCTATTTGTTTTCTGAAGTTCAAATGATACTTCGTAGCGCTCTCGCCTACGCGGGAATACTACAAGTTAGCTGGCGACAGCAGACCCCTGTTCATCCCGTGCCCATCACTAACCTCCGATTATGGAAGCAAGAGGAGGAATGGACTTGTACTAGATGCTTCAATCTACAAGTGGCGGACGGTTTCGTGAGATACCGAGTTGAAGTTACTGCTGTAAGCGGCCTTGAGTCTCCTTTTCGAGTCCATGCCTTGAAGCATTACAAATGATCAGATGACACTTCCTGGGCCGGTAATGACATACACCTTGTTCTTCATTGTCTCTGTATGGGCGTTGATAGATACAGTCTGCAGGCGTCACCCTTCACATGCCGGCGCTTAGTTCCCAATCTTGATCACAACCTTTCCAAAGTGCTTCCTCTCCCACTGATACTGATACGCCTTCTTCAGGTCTTCAAAGGAAAAGATGTTGCGATCGACAACGGGGCGGATCTTTGTAGAGTTAATCGCCCGGTTCATTTCCTCAAACTGCTGCCTCGAGCCCACGAAAATGCCGCGCACAATGCAGACGTGGTTGAGAATGTCCATCACCGCAGGCTCCTTCTCAGAAGACGTGAGGAACCCGATGATGGTGATGACGCCCTCCATCCGTATCGCCTTGAGCGACTGCGCAATGCTCGCGGCGCCGCCAATCTCGAGGATGTGGTCGAATCCAACACCTCCGGGAGTCAGGGATCGGGCGACCTCGCCCCAGTTGGGAGTCTCGTTGTAGTTTATCACGTGCGAAGCTCCCAGCTTCTTCAACTCATCGGCCTTGTCGTCAGAGGAAGTCGTAGCAACAACGGTCGCCCCAGCGGCTGCGGCAAATTGGACTGCGGCAAGGGAAACCCCCCCGGTGCCTTGAGCCAAGACCCAGTCGCCAGCTTTGAGGACATTACTCGCAAGCCCGTAAAGGGCGTTCCATGCCGTCAGGGGAGCGCATGTCAAAGTACTGGCTTCAATGGCGCTGAGGGACGACGGAGCTTTGACAAGACAATGATCGCCAAACACGGCGTAATCGCGCAGTGTGCCGTCTACGGCGCCCCCGAGACCACTTGCGGCGGCCTCTGGAGTGATGGGGTTCGCCAAGTGGTGCTCGTTGAAGAGGGTACAGACTCGGTCACCCTTGGAGACTCTGGTGACCTTGGAGCCAGTTGCAAGAACAATGCCGGCACAGTCGGATCCAGGGATGACAGGGAGGTTGATGACGAACGGATAAAGCCCCTTTATGATAGAGTAAGTGTCAGTCTATCTTTTAGATGTAGATCTAGGTATAGACATACTCTTGGAATAGCTAGATCTCTGTAGTTGAGGGAGACGGCTTCAATCTTGACCAAGACGTCTCTCTCGCCGAGCTTGGGAAGAGGAACATTTCCTTGGAGAACAATCCCATCGAAGCTGTCGCTGCGGATTTCGCGAATAGACCACGCGCGTGTAGTCGTAGGAAGGGACATTATGATGAGATTGGAATCCAAGATTATATATTCAGTTGGATGATTCTAGAAAGAGTTTGCTGTCCTGGATGACCTCAATCTGGTGACCGTTGGAGGGGGTCTTTATATAGGTATGTAGAGGGAGTGCGTTAATCTCTTTCCATACACCCCGAGTGGACTCCTCTACGCAAACGAGTCACACATTCCGATAGCGTTGATGGAGCTCGAGTACAGCTTGAGCATTCTGGATGGTGTTACGAGCAGCTCGCGGAGCTGTCACATCGTCCGATGTTGAGTTTGCTCGGGCCAAGCCATGTCGTCAACCCTCTTACACCAACGCTAGCATTGACGAATGGGAATGAGACGGCATATTCTATCCGCTAGATCTTACCTTGTATAAGCAACAAAACATCGAAGAAAGTTGACAATCTGCTTCTCGAAGATGCTGCAAGTCTCCTCTTCCGGGGCATGAGCTCCTGATGGACACGGCGTCATTGGATCGTAGGCGTCGGCCGACCCCTGTCGATGACATGGAGAAGCTAGATCCGGAGCGGCGGCTAGATGGGGTCGGCCGAACCCTGCAAGGGCTCGTTTGACGGTAAAGTATACTGTCCGCTGTTGACACATTGACACTGTCGTTGTTATGGTCAGGTAGTCTTTGATAGATCTACCGACGGAGAGAAGAGAGCATGTTGTCAGGCTACCTCGTGCTATTTACACAATCGTAGAGGGCATCCGATTACGGCACCGTGCGCTTCCTGACAAGTTTGCTTATAGTTTTGCCATGTGAGCCTCCCTCCAGCGCACTTACACAAATAGAACACATATGAGTTCGCACTCTGTTGAAGTCATATATGCCTCAAGGAACCGGGTTCAGGCTGGGCTCACTCCATCTGGAAACAAAGCCCACAACTGGCTCGTGATAGAGCTCAATGGTCATGTTACTCGGAGTCGGATGCTCCGTCGTCCAACCTACTAGGCTGTATAATGTCTTTAGGCATGATCTCTAATTCTTCTGGCGCCTGAAACCGCAGGTCCCGCAGATGGAGTGCCTGTTCTTCTTACCGGAGGCTTCTCATTGATGTCCTAGAATTTACATTGGCCAAGGCCTTATGGAGGTCTCAGTTTTTGATCCTTTTGGGACGTTGGAATGATGCTCCAGGAACTACGGCGCTGGGGTCCCAATGGAACTGGTGAGCAAGCTGTCAACTTTTCTCTTTCATCTTCAAAAACTCTTGTAGTGACAGATAGCCATTGGAGCCGACCTCTCTATTGAAGCGATTCCGTCTTGAGACCAAGCATAGGGAAGTCTGCAGGTAGCTCACTGTCACGGGTGTAAGTGACGTCTCCCCAAGGGCAGCCTCCGGGAGGCGGTCACACTGGTGACAGACAAGTCTCGCTTACTCAGGACCAATGTTTGAACAGTCTATATATGAAGTACAACAGATGATAAATGCACCATGAACCACGACTTCTTGCACGTGATTTGTTTTGGACTACTGGTATTTGCTCCCCTGCAAGATCTTGAGTGTACATGGCGGCTAGAGCAGTACAGTCTGTGATGCACTGTAGGAATACTAATCAGTTGCAGATGAGGCTTGACCAGGCTTCTTGGTCGATGTCTCTTCTGTTCCAGATGCCGGCTTCCAAGGAGTCTGGTAGGGTGACCTTCAGTTACGCCATCTACATGTACCTGGCTTAACTCAGTCTACTGGTATGGTAGCCGCCAGCTTCACCCCAATCTGCCGGCAATTCCAGCAGCAGTACAACACCCTCAAGCCACAATTGTATAGCTTGCACTTGATTTCTCAAAGTCTGACAATGTAAGCAGAGAACTTCCTTCGGCATCTCAACTTAACTTTGTGAATATACAACATATTGGATCAAGTTTGGTCCTCAGGCTGTGGAAGTTAAAACACCCAACCGGCTCACACACTCGCATGATGGCAAACCACGCACAATCCAAATGGACGTGTGCTTACCATTTCAGGGAGGTCTGGAACTCTATGACGGGAGATCGATTCCAGGAACAGCCATAGACCCCTGCGCAATCCTTGATCATCTTTCGCCTCTTGTGGTTCAAAAGATGATATCTGACAGCCGTGTCAGATTCGATCGGCCTCCGCACTTTGTGAAGAGCGGTTCTTGCGATGCGGAAAAAGTAGCAATGAAGTACTATACAGTCAATAAGGATATCACTTGTCAGACTGCAAGGCCAGCACATCTGATAACAAGGAAGTTTAGAAGCTGGAGATCATTAAAAGACCTACATACTAAAGCTGTAATTACCTAGCCTGTGGGTCCTATAGGCTGCCTAATAGGCAGGCGCAACTTATATAAGCTGCTTAATTAGCCTAAGGATAAGAATAGGCTGCCTAAAAATAAGCTATAATAAAATTAAGCTGCTTATAAGCAGCTTAAAAAAGGAAGAGATATATTTAAATACTTAATAAGTATTAGCTGCTTATAAAGTATATTAATTATATATAATAATTATAAATATTACTAAACTATTATTATAAATATTAAAAAAAAAAATAATTACTTAAGTATAGTTTATTATTTTTCTTTTTTAATACTTAAATTTTATAATTATTATAAATTAAATTTAATTTAAATTATTAAAAAGTATATATTTTAAAGTAATAATTTATAAAAGTAATTATAAAAAATAAATATTTTTTAATATAATAGTAATATATTAAGTATAAATAATATAAAAATTAATTACTAAAAAAATATTAATATAAAATAATAATATAAAATAAATATTATACTTTAAAAAAGTTTAATTAAAAGTATTTTTATAGCTTTTTATAAAGTATTAAAAGTATTAAAATATATTTTAAAATAATTTATAAAAACTAGCTTTATAAATAGTATTTTTAATAAAATATATAAATAGCGCCTTTAAGTATAAGAAATTAAATAATTTATTAAAAGTAGTAAATTTTATAAAGTATAATAGTTATAAAGTATTAATATATAATAATTAATTATAATAATTAAAATATATATTATTAAGGTAATACTAGTATTTAAATTATAAATAAAATAAAGCAGGGGCTTTATTAAAAAAGGTCTTTTTATTAATATAGTATTTTTTTATAATATAAGGTATAGTAAATAATATAATAATAATATTATTATTATTATTATTATTATTATTATTATTATTATTATTATTAATAATAATAATAATAATAACTTAAAAATAAAATAAAAAAAGTAAAAAAAAAAATAAAAAATAAAATTTATAATTATATATAAAATTAGCTATAATTTACTATTAAAAAAAGTAAAAATAAAATAAATTAAAAATAAAATAAATATTAAATAAATAATTAAATATAATTTTAATTTATTAAAAAGCTATTTAAAAAGGGAATTTATATATAAAATTATAATAACTTAAAAAAAAAGTAAAGTAAAAGTAAAATAAAACTTATATTTTATTTACTTTACTTTTAAAAAAATAAAAAATTATTTATTATTACTTAAGGCATTTTTTAAGTATTAACTTATATTTTTTTTTATTTTTTTTACTTTTTTTACTTTTTTTTTTTCTTTTTTTTTTATTATAATTTTTTTATAAAAACTTATTATTAATAGCCTTATTACTTTTTTTCTTTTTTTTTTATAATAATAATATATTAATAAGTATATATTACTTTTTTAGCTTTTTTTTATTTATTATTTTTTATAAATAAGTTATATTAATTCTTTATAATAATTAATATTATAATAAAGCTAGTAAAGTATAATTATAATTACTTATTAAATAAAAATAAAAAATATAAAAATAATAAAGAATTTTTTAAAAATTTATATATAAAAAAAGCCTATTAATACCTTAATAATATAATAAAAATTAAATAAAATTATAAGTATAAAAAGTAATTACTAGCTTAAGCTATTTAATAAGTAAAATTAAAGCTTTAAAAAATTAATATATAGCTAAATAATAATATAAAAATAAAGTAATAATTTAAAAATAATTATATAAAGACTTATAATAATAAAGTATATATATTTTATATTATTTCTTATAGTATTATATTAATATTTCTTAATATACTAAAGGTACATACCTTAATAAGTTAATACTAATCGCTAANCGGAGGGG